CTAATTATTGACAAAAGATCGGATTGGTCAAAAGACAAATTAGTGGCAAAAAGATCAGAATTGGGCTGCCTGTGTAAACGCAGCCATCGTAAAACCACGGGACGGCTAATGTAAACTTTTATTCTCATGTAACATTCTTTGCCATCAATGTTGTAAATCTGCTCATATGAAGTGATTATATTAGAAACCTCTCCCTATCATTCGATAGAATAGACTAACTAAACCATGGCCATAGACTTGTTCATTGTTGGTATGTTTCAAAATAATAAACGTATGTTTCCATTGTTTGGTAAACCCATTCAACAAGTTGACAGTAAATCGGGCCACAGCAGGCGATGTATGAACAGTTTCCTCAGCAGTATTGAGTGCACTTTCAAGTGCTGTCTGTCTAAATGCATACACACAGCACCACCAAAAGTGGGTTGAGAAATGGAACCATGGTGTTATTGGTTTTCTTGTCAACTCTTCAAAACTTGTTTTAAATGTTGTTTTCCTGGTTTCTTTTCGTTTTTGCTAATCTTTTTCATAGGGATACCACTGGTTTCCTTTTTGAAGTATGTATATCTGCATTTCTTTCCTCCCGTCAGGTTCGACTTCCTCCTTCATGAATGTCAGTCCTGTCTTGCAGTACCCTTAGTGGCCATGGGGTGGTGCTCTAGAATACTTCCTTCAGAACCATCAGAAACAAATGAAAATAATAATAATAATATGCCATTTAGCAGACGCTTTTATCCAAAGCGACATACAGTCATGCGTGCATACATTTTTTGTGTATGGGTGGTCCCGGGGATCTAACCCACTACCTTGGCGTTACAAGCGCCGTGCTCTACCAGCTGAGCTTCAGAGGACCACAGGCTTTAGTAATGTGAAAAATCTTTTTGTCCCATAATGATGTTCAAAATTATATGTCCATGCTAGTGTGTAACTATTTCATATGCTTCTCATTCACTTCGAGGGAAGCAAAATAAACAAGTATTTGATGAAATTGATGACGTGAACCTGAAAAATTGCAAAGACTGCTACTTGATGAACATTGGTGAACTTGTTGTAACCCTTAAATCTATTGTGTGAGACTTAGGCCATTTCTGATCGAATAAACTCGTTGAGAGTGATCAAAAATAATTTTGTCTGCCTAGAGATCAATTTTTTTTTTATGGATCATAATATCATGGTGCTTCTTTTCTATTTCATCACCAAGGCACTAATTCTTGTTGTTAAGCTGTAATTCTGTTCTAATTGTGTAGTAATATACCTCTTGATACATTCAAGTAATTGCATGAGAAACTGATTTGACTGTTCTTTAGATGTTTACTACCGTCTGCCCGGCTCAGATTCATTCAGTAGGGAGTGACAGACCTCCGGTTTATTTTATCAAAGCAAAGACAATGTATAACTTTATTGTCAATTTAACCATTTTAATTTCCAGATCATTCAAATTATGTATTGCTTCATCTTATGTAAACCCCTTGGTTTGTATGGATGGATGTCCTTTAAATTCTGAATGTCTTCAAATGTAGATAAGTACAATTACAAAACAAAGAACCTGAATGTTGAGTGAAATGTTTGTGCAAAATTACATTTTAAGAGTTTATTTACGACCATAAGGCCTTAAGGCATTGGAGAAGACACCTGTACATTCAAAGCTCTTAATCGATGTCACACACAGGAGACTGTTATTCCGTACATGTACACAAATGCATGTCGCGTTCTCCCCAATTTAAACAAAAATATGTTTATTTGTCTAGATGACATCTATTTACCTAAACAGCACACAATAAACTACCAATAGAGCTGTCTATTTACTACATAGAAAAATAGAAGGCTCTGACCATCAACATTTCATAGATGTACTGACACTGAGCTGGGTTGTCTCTGCCCTCTCGTCTAGTGGGGAGAAAAAGAGGATCTATGGGGCAAAGACAGTACAAATCTGGTCCCTATCACCTCAGTGTAGATGGCTGTCTAACGCACACTGATCAGCTTGCATTGTCTCTGTGTGGCACTCAAAACGAGGGTTTGTCTGTTTGAGGGTTTGTTTTTCTGTTTTCTTGAACAGATTAGATTTCTTCTGCACATTCTAGTGTTAAAAGTCTGCTTCCCTTGCTGTGTGGTACCTGTCTGTTGCTCTTTGCAAAATAACAATCTAATTATTTTTGGTCGGAGTATACCTTTGTATTAAAATGAATAAAGAAAACTAGCAAATAACACTTGGCTTGGATTTTTAATAACTAATCATTTACACATTAGATTGAGAGGATGTTATCTGGTCTAATCAAACTTTGATTAAATGTATGAAATTATTCGAAGCTATCCAGCTTGTTGGACAGGCAATTAGATGCAATGATATTATCATGCATTTCAAGTGTAAAGACTGGATGCTTATTTTTGCTATCCTACTAGTGGACCTGTCACTCAAATGTTGCAGTATATAATTAATAGACCTATGGCACGTCATCAATAGAGATCCAGTTCTGATAACATTCTGGAATTTGAATATCCACTGACTGTAAACAGGCGTCAATGACGCACCATCGGCAGAGGCTGAGTAATGACGTGTAGTCAAAAATACTGAATGTTTATAGCTACTTATTAAGTAAAATTAGAGTAGTTTTCAGTGGGTGTATGCAAGAATGTATTTTTTTCAAAGTATGGCCGTGATCAAGGGCGTACGCGCGCGTCGCTGTCAGTTTGCGAACGCAAGCGCGTCCCCGATTCCGAAGGCGGCACGAAAAAACAAGGATTGCTAGAGAGAAAAGTCGGCATACTTTAACCTCGAGATCAGAAGGACCTTATTTTGGAACGAAAAACACGTCCTCTTGGCTTGTATAACTGTCCGAACTGGCGAAGGATCTTCAGGAAAAGCTATAGGGTAAGTTGTTTTGCATCAGATATTGAGTATCGATGAAATGCTAAGTGGGGAAAATGACGATGTGGCTGTATTTTTGCACCCCCTTTCTATGTCTCAAAATGGCGGACAGGCCGCTTGGAGCAGCAGGTAGCTGGCCATCAGAGTTGTACATGACTGTGCTAACCAACTAGTGGCACTGGTCAATTTGCATGTAAATAACTGTTATTAACCTGATTTAAGTTACTATTTGGTCCGAACTTGCATCTATTTTTCAAGTGTTATTGATTTAAATGTATTCGAAAATTTGATACCAACTTTCTAGCTCGCTAGCCAGCCAGGTAACTAGCTAACGTTAGTCAGTGGAAATCATTTTGACGTTAGCTAGCTAGGCTAACCGGCTGGCTAGCGGGCTTGTCAAACTCATCAATTATGTGTGTAGGTAGCTAGTTAACTAGTTTATGCACATACTTGACGCGATGCCTTTTTATCGATGTAACTAACTAGTTAATTAACTTTTTTAACTTATATTTTGCAAAGTGTATTGCCAATTGTTTCATTCAATTGAATTAATTTGTTGAACTCACATTCGAATTACTAGGCTGGCTAGCGTGCGCGCTCTAGGCTAGTCAACGTTGCGTTCGCCTCGCGATCATATGTAGGTCATGATTTGAGTGACAGTTATTTCACATACCAGCTACAAACTTATACCAACTAATGTGTGATATTGTCGAGCGTAATACATCTAGGTATCTAACGTTACTTGATCACTGTGTGACAAGCTAGATAACTTTAGCTAGGTAACGTTACCCACGATTTTAGAATGTTCAATAATGGAAAAGGGCGTATACAATCAGTTATCATTATTTTGAAAGCTATTTAGGAGGTAGCTAGCTAAGTGATTTTAGCTAGTATTGTCCGAATGTCATGTGAAACATTAGATGTGGTCTGAAATGGACACTTTTTTTTTAGCTCAGCTAGTTACCAAGCTAGTTGTGTTTCCTGTAGCCACTGGCTACGCTACTCCCTCCATCCATAACGTTACATCCATAACGTTACATCCAGTCAACTGGACAACTTTGATGAACGTTTTGTGATCTATCAAGGCTCTAGACCCGTAACGTCTTTACAGAAATCATTCTCTGCAAGTTGGCCCTGTTTCACGAATGATCTAAGTCTGAATGAATCCATGCAGTTTATAGAAATAAGGGTGGAGCACATCGGTGGAAAAAAAATAAGTTGAAGAAAAACTACAATTTGCCTTGACCAATAGCTTCAGCTTGAAACCTATGTTTTCTTCAATACTTTTATATTTTATTTTGGGATTGATGTCGATTGAGGATCGAATATAGTTTCAGTTTGATCACGTGGGTTGAAAGGCAGCGGTACCCTCCATTAGGTTAGAAAAGATGCCACCCCTCTCCTACTGCAGAATGGATCCTTCAGCCTGCATCTCTTTCCGCTGAAACTGACAAGTCACTCTCCTCCTCCCCGCCTTCTTGATGGTACCCCTATCGTGTTTGTAGCAGGATCCGTTGCTATGCAATCCTCCTCCCCGAATGTATCATTTCATCTTGGCCAGACCAGAGCTTGGCTACACCTGTAAGGATTGCTGCACCAGCTGATGCAACCGAAATGAGGGGATTGTTTTAGCAGTGGAGCTTCAATTAATAACTTGGTAGCTATATTTTCTCCTTTACAGTTGTAGCTAATGTGGTTCTATGGTTTGTATGTCTATGCTGGTGGACCATACTTGATTGAATAGGCAAAGTCTCTTGATGTAAGCATTCAGATGTTGAAGTTTTTTTTTAATGAATGGGTAGTTTTAGAATATTTTAATAGGCTACTTGTTTGTGGTTGCAGGCTTGACAAATTTCCAGACAAATTTAGAAAATAAAGCAGATTATTAAAATCCTGAGAATATAAACACATGTGCGCCCACAAATGTATCTATTGTGCCAAATGGCTAATCAGTAATCATGGTATTTGTGATTCTCATAATGGCCTCAATACACAAATGTTGTGATATTTGACTGTTATCCAAGTGGGGGACTATGTTAACTTGACTGATTGTTTAATGACCTTTCAGTGTTTTGAGTGGTACCTGACCCATGGCAACATTGACAATTTGTGTTTTCAGGTTGCACAGGGGAGGATGTTTGATTCCTCTCTCTGTGGAGGAGGCGGCGGGAGGGAGGGAGGAGGAGAGAATGAGAGAGAGAGAGAGGGTGTGTCTTTTTTTGTGAATGCAGAGTGCCTCACTAACACAGTCACCACCAGGTGCCCACGTTACACTGTTTTGAGCTCCAGCCCAGAGGTCACAGTAGGACAGTGGCTGACCTTCAGCACAGGAGGACATGCCAGCCCAGCAGCCCCCCTCCTGTCTCTGGGTCTGGGACAGCCAGGTTGGGTTCACCTTCACATGACAGCTTAGTGCCACTGCTCATTTAATGGGTTTTGGATTGAAAATCAACAATTCCCAGCATATTATGTGAGGAGTTGGAAATCATCGCACTATTACTTATAAAACAGTCAAATCATTGCAATATTATTGAATAAAACTGACCCATCACCGCAGTACAAAAAGAGGGCTTGCAATTTCAACCAATCACTGTACATTTACCACATAATATGGTTCAATCAAGCCACCTGTCACCCCAAAAATGTCCCCTCGTCAGTGCATTTTCGCTACAAATTGGACAAAATCATTGCATATTGCCATACAAAATGTCAGAATTGCTTCAGCAAAATCAAGCATTTTTTCCCTGCAAATATCACAAAAAATCCACCCAAATTCATGGAGAGACTGGGAAATATGGTGCCAGTATGCATGATAATATTTTCTCTGTCAGCTCATGCCATTGTTATATACAGTACCAGTCAAAAGTTTGGACACCTACTCATTCAATGGTTTTTCTTTATTTTTACTATTTTGTACATTGTAGAATAATAGTGAAGACATCGAAGCTATGAAATAACACACATGGAATCATGTAGTAACCAAAAAAGTGTTACACATCAAAATATATTTTATATTGAGATTCTTCAAAAAGCCACCCTTTGCTTTGAAGACAGCTTTGCAGACTCTTGGCATTCTCTCAACCAGTTTCACCTGGAAGGAGTTCGCACATATGCTGAGCACTTGTTGGCTGCTTTTCCTTCACCCTGCCCTCCGACTCATCTCAAACCATCTCAATTGGGTTGAGGTCAGGGGATTGTGGAGGCCAGGTCATCTGATACAGCTCTCCGTCTTGGTAAAATAGCCCTTACACAGCCTGGAGGTGTGTTGGGTCATTGTCCTGTTGAAAAAGAAATGATAGTCCCACTAAGCCCAAACCAGATGGGATGGCGTATCACTGCAGAATGCTGTGGTAGCCATGCTGGTTAAGTTTGCCTTGAATTCTAAATAAATCACTGATAGTGTCACCAGCAAAGCACCCCCACACCATAACACCTCCTCCATGCGTTACGTTGGGAACTATACATGCAGAGATAATCCGTTCACCCACACAGCGTCTCACAAAAACATGCGGTTGGAACCAAAAATCTCCAATTTGGACTCCAGACCAAAGGACACATTTCCACGGATCTAATGTCCATTGCTCGTGTTTCTTGGCCCAAACAGGTCTCTTATTGGTGTCCTTTAGTAGTGGTTTCTTTGCAGCAATTCGACCATGAAGGCCTGATTCACACAGTCTTCTCTGAACAGTTGATGTTGAGATGTGTCTGTTACTTGAACTCTGTGAAGCATTTATTTGGGCTGCTGTATCTGAGGCTGGTAACTAATGAACTTATCCTCTGCAGCAGAGGTAACTCTGGGTCTTCCATTCCTGTCGCGGTCCTCATGAGAGCTAGTTTCATCATAGCGCTTGATGGTTTTGGCAACTGCACTTGAAGAAACGTTCAAAGTTCTTAATGTTCCGTATTGACTGACCTTCATGTCTTAAAGTCATGATGGACTGTTTTTTCCTCTTTGCTTATTTGAGCTGTTCTTGCCATAATATGGACTTGGTCTTTTACCAGATAGGGCTATCTTCTGTATCTCCCCACTACCATGTCACAACACAACTGATTGGCTCAAACGCATTAAGAAGGAAATACATTTCATAAATGAACGTTTAAGAAGGCACACCTGTTAATTGAAATGCAATCGAGGTGACTACCTCATGAAGCTGGTTGAGAGAATGCCAAGAGTGTGCAAAGCTGTCATGAAGGCAAAGGCTGGCTATTTGTGGTCCTCTGAAGCTCAATTGGTAGAGCATGGCGCTTGTAACGCCAGTGTAGTGGGTTCGATCCCCGGGACCACCCATACGTAAAAATGTATGCACGCATGACTAAGTCGCTTTGGATAAAAGCGTCTGCTAAATGGCATTATTATTATTATTATTATTATTATTATATTTGAAGAATCTCAAATATATTTTGATTTGTTTAACACTTTTTTTGATTCCATATGTGTTATTTCGTAGTTGATGTCTTCACTATTATTCTACAATGAAAATATAAAGAACCCTTGAATGAGTAGGTGTGTCCAAACTTTTGACTGGTAATATATATATGTGTGTATATCTCAGCAAAGAAGGGAACGTCCTCTCACTGTCAACTGTGTTTATTTTCAGCAAACTTAACGTGTAAATATTTGTTTGAACATAACAAGATTCAACAACTGAGACATAAACTGAACAAGTTCCACAGACATGTAACAGAAATTGAATAATGTGTCCCAGAACAAAGGGGGGTCAAAAGTAACAGTATCTGGTGTGGCCACCAGCTGCATTAAGTACTGTAGTGCGTCTCCTCCTCATGGACTGCACCAGATTTGCCAGTTCTTGCTGTGAGATGTTACCCCACTCTTCCACCAAGGCACCTGCAAGTTCCCGGACATTTCTAGAGGGAATGGCCCTAGCCCTCACCCTCCAATCCAACAGTTCCCAGACGTGCTCAATGGGATTGAGATCCGGGCTCTTCGCTGGCCATGGCAGAACACTGACATTCCTGTCTTGCAGGAAATCACGCACAGAACGAGCAGTATGGCTGGTGGCATTGTCATGCTGGAGGGTCATGTCAGGATGAGCCTGCAGGAAGGGTACCACATGAGGGAGGAGGATGTTTTCCCTGTAACGCACAGCGTTAAGATTGCCTGCAATGACAACAAGCTCAGTCCGATGATGCTGTGACACACCGCCCCAGACCATGACGGACCCTCCACCTCCAAATCGATCCTGCTCCAGAGTACAGGCCTCGGTGTAACGCTCATTCCTTTGACGATAAACACGAATCCGACCATCACCCCTGGTGAGACAAAAACGCGACTCGTCAGTGAAGAGCACTTTTTGGCCAGTCCTGTCTGGTCCAGCGACGGTGGGTTTGTGCCCATAGGCAACGTTGTTGCAGGTCATGTCTGGTGAGGACCTGCCTTACAACAGGCCTACAAGCCCTTAGTCCAGCCTCTCTCAGCCTATTTTGAGGACAGTCTGAGCACTGATGGAGGGATTGTGCGTTCCTGATGTAACTCGGGCAGTTGTTGTTGCCGTCCTGTACCTGTCCCGCAGGTGTGATGTTCGGATGTACCGATCCTGTGCAGGTGTTGTTACACGTGGTCTGCCAGCTGTCTGTCCTGTCTCCCTGTAGCGCTGTCTTAGGCGTCTCACAGTACGGACATTGCAATTTATTGCCCTGGCCACATCTGCAGTTCACGCAGGGACCCTGGGCATCTTTCTTTTGGTGTTTTTTAAGAGTCAGTAGAAAGACCTCTTTAGTGTCCTAAGCTTTCATAACTGTGACCTTAATTGCCTACAGTCTGTAAGCTGTTAGTGTCTTAAGGACAGTTCCACAGGTGTATGTTTATTAATTGTTTATGGTTCATTGAACAAGCATGGGAAACCAGTGTTTAAACCCTTTACAATGAAGATCTGTGAAATTATTTTGATTTTTACTAATTATCTTTGAAAGACAGGGTCCTGAAAAAGGGACGTTTCTTTTTTTGGTGTGTGTGTACAGTGAGGGGAAAAAGTATTTGATCCCCTGCTGATTTTGTACGTTTGCCCACTGACAAAGAAATGATCAGTCTATAATTTTAATGGTAGGTTTATTTGAACAGTGAGAGACAGAATAACAACAAAAATCCAGAAAAACGCATGTCAAAAATGCTATAAATTGATTTGCATTTTAATGAGGGAAATAAGTATTTGACCCCCTCTCCATCAGAAAGATTTCTGGCTCCCAGGTGTCTTTTATACAGGTAACGAGCTGAGATTAGGAGCACACTCTTAAAGGGAGTGCTCCTAATCTCAGTTTGTTACCTGTATAAAAGACACCTGTCCACAGAAGCAATCAATCAATCAGATTCCAAACTCTCCACCATGGCCAAGACCAAAGATGTCAGGGACAAGATTATAGACCGACACAAGGCTGGAATGGGCTACAAGACCATCGCCAAGCAGCTTGGTGAGAAGGTGACAACAGTTGTTGCGATTATTCGCAAATGGAAGAAACACAAAAGAACTGTCAATCTCCCTCGGCCTGGGGCTCCATGCAAGATCTCACCTCGTGGAGTTGCAATGATCATGAGAACGGTGAGGAATCAGCCTAGAACTACACGGGAGGATCTTGTCATGATCTCAAGGCAGCTGGGACCATAGTCACCAAGAAAACAATTGGTAACACACTACGCTGTGAAGGACTGAAATCCTGCAGCGCCCGCAAGGTCCCCCTGCTCAAGAAAGCACATATGCAGGCCCGTCTGAAGTTTGCCAATGAACATCTGAATGATTCAGAGGAGAACTGGGTGAAAGTGTTGTGATCAGATGAGACCAAAATGGAGCTCTTTGGCATCAACTCAACTCGCCATGTTTGGAGGAGGAGGAATGCTGCCTATGACCCCAAGAACACCATCCCCACCGTCAAACATGGAGGTGGAAAGATTATGCTTTGGGGGTGTTTTTCTGCTAATGGGACAGGACAACTTCACCACATCAAAGGGACGATGGACGGGGCCATGTACCGTCAAATCTTGGGTGAGAACCTCCTTCCCTCAGCCAGGGCATTGAAAATGGGTCGTGGATGGGTATTCCAGCATGACAATGACCCAAAACACACGGCCAAGGCAACAAAGGAGTGGCTCAAGAAGAAGCACATTAAGGTCCTGGAGTGGCCTAGCCAGTCTCCAGACCTTAATCCCATAGAAAATCTGTGGAGGGAGCTGAAGGTTCGAGTTGCCAAACGTCAGCCTCGAAACCTTAATGACTTTGAGAAGATCTGCAAAGAGGAGTGGGACAAAATCCCTCCTGAGATGTGTGCAAACCTGGTGGCCAACTACAAGAAACGTCTGACCGCTGTGATTGCCAACAAGGGTTTTTCCACCAAGTACTAAGTCTTGTTTTGCAGATGGGTCAAATACTTATTTCCCTCATTAAAATGCAAATCAATTTATAACATTTTTGACATGCATTTTTCTGGATTTTGTTGTTATTCTGTCTCATTGTTCAAATAAATCTAGCATTAAAATTATAGACTGATCATTTCTTTGTCAGTGGGCAAACGTACAAAATCAGCAGGGGATCAAATACTTTTTTCCCTCACTGTGTGTGTGTGTGTGTGTGTGTATATATATATATATATATATATATATATATATATATATATATATATATATATATATATATATATATATATATATATATATATATTGCTCAAAAAAATAAAGGGAACACTTAAACAACACAATGTAACTCCAAGTCAATCACACTTCTGTGAAATCAAACTGTCCACTTAGGAAGCAACACTGATTGACAATACATTTCACATGCTGTTGTGCAAATGGAATAGACAACAGGTGGAAATTATAGGCAATTAGCAAGACACCCCCAATAAAGGACTGGTTTTGCAGGTGGTAACCACAGACCACTTCTCAGTTCCTATGCTTCCTGGCTGATGTTTTGGTCACTTTTGAATGCTGGCGGTGCTTTCACTCTAGTGGTAGCATGAGACGGAGTCTACAACCCACACAAGTGGCTCAGGTAGTGCAGCTCATCCAGGATGGCACATCAATGCGAGCTGTGGCAAGAAGGTTTGCTGTGTCTGTCAGCATAGTGTCCAGAGCATTGAGGCGCTACCAGGAGACAGGCCAGTACATCAGGAGACGTGGAGGAGGCCGTAGGAGGGCAACAACCCAGCAGCAGGACTGCTTCCTCCGCCTTTGTGCAAGGAGAAGCAGGAGGATCACTGCCAGAGCCCTGCAAAATGACCTCCAGCAGGCCACAAATGTGCATGTGTCTGCTCAAACGGTCAGAAACAGACTCCATGAGGGTGGTATGAGGGCCCGACGTCCACGGGGGGGGGGGGGGGTTGTGCTTACAGCCCAACACCGTGCAGGACGTTTGGCATTTGCCAGAGAACACCAAGATTGGCAAATTCGCCACTGGTGCCCTGTGCTCTTCACAGATGAAAGCAGGTTCACACTGAGCACATGTGACAGACGTGACAGAGTCTGGATACGCCGTGGAGAACGTTCTGCTGCCTGCAACATCCTCCAGCATGACCGGTTTGGCGGTGGGTCAGTCATGGTGTGGGGTGGCATTTCTTTGGTGGGCCGCACAGCCCTCCATGTGCTCGCCAGAGGTAGCCTGACTGCCATTAGGTACCGAGATGAGATCCTCAGACCCCTTGTGAGACCATATGCTGGTGCGGTTGGCCCTGGGTTCCTCCTAATGCAAGACAATGCTAGACCTCATGTGGCTGGAGTGTGTCAGCAGTTCCTGCAAGAGGAAGGCATTGATGCTATGGACTGGCCCGCCCGTTCACCAGACCTGAATCCAATTGAGCACATCTGGGACATCATGTCTCGCTCCATCCACCAACGCCACGTTGCACCACAGACTGTCCAGGAGTTGGCGGATGCTTTAGTCCAGGTCTGGGAGGAGATCCCTCAGGAGACCATCCGCCACCTCATCAGGAGCATGCCCAGGCGTTGTAGGGAGGTCATACAGGCACGTGGAGGCCACACACACTACTGAGCCTCATTTTGACTTGTTTTAAGGACATTACATCAAAGTTGGATCAGCCTGTAGTGTGGTTTTCCACTTTAATTTTGAGGGTGACTCCAAATCCAGACCTCCATGGGTTGATACATTTGATTTCCATTGATAATTTTTGTGTGATTTTGTTGTCAGCACATTCAACTATGTAAAGAAAGTATTTAATAAGATTATTTCATTAATTCAGATCTAGGATGTGTTATTTTAGTGTCCCTTTTGAGCAGTGTATATACACATACGTGTCTGTGTGTGTGTGTGTGTGTGTGTATATATATATATATATATATACAGACACACACAGACACAGTGGGGAGAACAAGTATTTGATACACTGTCGATTTTGCAGGTTTTCCTACTTACAAAGCATGTAGAGGTCTGTAATTTTGATCATAGGTACAAAAATCCAGAAAATCACATTGTATGATTTTTAAGTAATTCATTTGCATTTTATTGCATGACAAGGATTTGATCACCTACCAACCAGTAAGAATTCCGGCTCTCACAGACCTGTTAGTTTTTCTTTAAGAAGCCCTCCTGTTCTCCACTCATTACTCACAATTTTCTCGGCAGCAGGTAGCTTAGTGGTTAAGAGCGTTGTGCCAGTAACCGAAAGGTCGCTGGTTCTAATCCCTGAGCCAACTAGGTGGAAAATCTGTTGATGTGCCCTGAGCAAGGCACTTAACCCTAATTGCTCCTGTAAGTCGCTCTGGATAAGAGCGTCTGCTAAATTACATAATAATAATAATTACCTGTATTAACTGCACCTGTTTGAACTCGTTACCTGTATAAAAGACACCTGTCCACACACTCAATCAAACAGACTCCAACCTCTCCACAATGGCCAAGACCAGAGAGCTGTGTAAGGACATCAGGGATAACATTGTAGACCTGCACAAGGCTGGGATGGGCTACAGGACAATAGGCAAGCAGCTTGGTGAGAAGGCAACAACTGTTGGCACAATTATTAGAAAATGGAAGAAGTTCAAGATGACGGTCAATCACCCTCGGTCTGGGGCTCCATGCAAGATCTCACTTTGTGGGGCATCAATGATCATGAGGAAGGTGAGGGATCAGCCCAGAACTACACGGCAGGACCTGGTCAATGACCTGAAGAGGCTGGGACCACAGTCTCAAAGAAAACCATTAGTAACACACTACGCCGTCATGGATTAAAATCCTGCAGCGCGTGCAAGGTCCCCCTGCTCAAACCAGCGCTTGTCCAGGCCCGTCTGAAGTTTGCCAATGACCATCTGGATGATCCAGAGGAGGAATGGGAGAAGGTCATGTGGTCTGATGAGACAAAAATAGAGCTTTTTGGTCTAAACTCCACTCGCCGTGTTTGGAGGAAGAAGAAGGATGAGTACAACCCCAAGAACACCATCCCAACCGTGAAGCATGGAGGTGGAAACATCATTCTTTGGGGATGCTTTTCTGCAAAGGGGACAGGACGAATGCACCGTATTGAGGGGAGGATGGATGGGGCCATGTATCGCGAGATCTTGGCCAACAACCTCCTTCCCTCAGTAAGAGCATTGAAGATGGGTCGTGGCTGGGTCTTCCAGCATGACAACGACCCAAAACACAAAGCCAGGGCAACTAAGGAGTGGCTCCGTAAGAAGCATCTCAAGGTCCTGGAGTGGCCTAGCCAGTCTCCAGACCTGAACCCAATAGAAAATCTTTGGAGGAAGCTGAAAGTCCGTATTGCCCAGCGACAGCCCCGAAACCTGAAGGATCTGGAGAAGGTCTGTATGGAGGAGTGGGCCAAAATCCCTGCTGCAGTGTGTGCAAACCTGGTCAAGACCTACAGGAAATGTATGATCTCTGTAATTGCAAACAAAGGTTTCTGTACCAAATATATTAAGTTCTGCTTTTCTGATGTATCAAATACTTATGTCATGCAATAAAATGCAAATTAATTACTTAAAAATCATACAATGTGATTTTCTGGAGTTTTGTTTTAGATTCCGTCTCTCACAGTTGAAGTGTACCTATGATACAAATTACAGACCTCTACATGCTTTGTAAGTAGGAAAACCTGCAAAATCGGCAGTGTATCAAATACTTGTTCTCCCCGCTGTATATGTGTGTATATATGTGTGTTTGTATATGTAGCAGCTTGATTTCTGAATCATGTCAATGCATAACTAGAAATGGGAAGTGTCTTGATCCTTGATTTACACAGTGCACTGCATAGCCTACATGGAGGAATTGAAAATATGCTTAAAACCCTTAATTTGATATTTGTTCTGATCAGTTTAATGTTGGCCAACTTGGACTTGTTAAATAGCCTTATCTTATGTATTTTTGTTGCTTCAAAGCGCTTTGAGATTCTTTAGGTAATCAATAGCGCTATAAAAGTTTTTAATTTATTATCTTCTGCCAGTGGTTTAGCTAGTACTCACTGATATTTTGCCCTGGCCTGTAGCACAACCTCTCCTCTGACTCTCACAGAGTGCTGTCTACAACAGTGTTGCTACTGAGCACTCCCTCAGCGTATGTGTACTCTGATCTGCTAATCATGGCTCTTCTATCAGGGGACTCTGACAGTAGTGATGATGGCCAGACCCATGCTTTATTCACCTCTTTGCTTCTCGGCAGCGGCGGTGCACATTCAGTCACTGCACTCAAAATCATGGTTCCTCCCTCTTGCCATCTGTCTCAATTGGACTGCTTAAATATACATGGAAGGAGGAGGAGCCAACATTGAATGGACTTCTTCCACCACTCTCTTTAGGATGTGGATAGTCAACAAGGCTAAGATATGTTCAGTTTGTTATGTGTTACGTTTAAGAATGAATGCTTTATATGTATGAGTAGCAGCAGCCATCCATTGTATCCCTGGCTGCTTTAGGCTTCTCTCAGACCAGATAGCTTGGATAACAGCCATTGCAGCCAGCCCAGGTGATGACCTCTGGAAGACTGCATTGTGTGCCAGATGTTCAATCCCCTGTCATTATCAATTAGTGAAAAAGCGCTTCAAATAATTTCTGCAAGAGTGCCCTGCCTGCCTGCCTAGAAGAGACCTACTGTGCACAAGCTGGTAATTATTTACAGAATAACTAGCTCTGAAAATCCCATCTTTATGAATGTAGCCTAGGCTTTTTTATTTTTAAATTTTTAGAGGTTCTGGCTGTTCCAACTGTTATTTTAGAAGCTATTTCATTCATCCCCCCCCCCCCCCAGACCATGGTGTCCTGAAATGTACCATGGAAACCGGTGATTGATTTAAAGTCCAAGTATTATAACCAGTTGCACTTTTAAGCCTTGTTTTGATGTCAGTTACTGCTTTTGGCGGGTCAATTAGGTAGTTGTAATTATCAGGGCCATATATCATGTTGTACATTATTGCCAGTAGCAGGGCTCTACGCTGATCTTTTTTACAAGGAGCACATGTGCACCTAAGTAGATTTATTTTTTTGGAACACTATCAGAGAACCTTGGAGTAGGTTATTCTGGCTGGAATTGTTACACTCCTGCCATGTAAAAAATTACTGACATGGCAGATTCGGATGGGACAAAAAATTACAGTTGGGCTTGTGCACGTAATTACATTACCGACCACCCCCAGTAAAAATAATCCTGTCCGAATAGGGCTGAAGAAATGTAGGAGCGCATTGAAAAATATATTTATATTCAAAGCCATTTGGATTGATACGAGGGTCGATGATGACATTGAGTGGCAAGGAACAACAAAGGAATCATGCTATTGGGATTGGGACTTGGATGTGGGATTCTGGGAAAGGGAATGCAGTGATATTAGACTTGACCTTGGGCAGGGATTCTTCTAAATCCCTATTGCTGTATTCTTTGTGTGACAGTCTGATAGTGCTAATAAATACTACACGCTAAGTGTGTTCTGTGTTATTCCACCCTTTGTTTCCATCATTCCATAGTAGTGTACAACTGAAGCATTTACCATTCCTTTGTTCATGGCCTTGTTTTGTCAGACTTCAGAAAGGCGTTGACTAAAATGCAATATCAGTATACATTAGTATTGGAAGGATTAAGATGTTGATGAAATAAAGGTTATCTGTTGGGTTCTGTTAGCCTGTTGAATCATGCTTACCTCTATAGACTTTGATCTTTGCTATGCTGATGTAGGCCTACAGCTAATCTACTTGTCTGATTTATAATTTGCAGAATAATAAAATAGCCGTGTCGACTAGCCTACTAGTCTTAGTTGATTGTAAATCAAGTTATTGTAAAATGGTCGCACTATAGAGCCCTGCCTGACCACCGAGAAATAGGGGAAGTTTGAGAACTCTCATCACCTTGGGTATGATGATCATCAAAATTATTGGCATGGTCTGCTGCTGTTTTCACAGTTGACCTTTCTCATTCAACTGATAAAATAGCACCCTTATGACTCAGAGCACAGCCCTATTGAAGAGCACCGTCCTTCAGGGCAGACTATGCCAACATACAGAGCAGTCTATGCCAAATTGACAACCCACAGAGCACAGCCATGCCAACTCTGGATAGCTGGTTTCCTTATTGTTCAGTGCCCACTGGTACACAGACTAGAGAATCAACAGAAATCTGCATTTTCAAAACACGGACAAAAAAACAAATGTACCTGTATTTTATATTGAAAGTGTTTTCTTGCTTCAATAAAGTGATCAGTGGTGTGCAACTATAGTTATCCTTCACACAAAATACATTAGTGCAACACATTCGGCAGAAAGTAGCAAAAAAAATTGGCTAGCAGACACAAATAAATTAGTTTACAATAAAAAAGCAAGGTATTTTTTGCTAAAATATATTTGTTTATCATAGAATGTAGCCAACTAAATGTCCTAATGTTTTGCTTGAAGTTAATCTTGAATTTTTCCAGCGAGAAGTAGCTCCACATCAGTCAGAGCACTGTCTGCTGATATAATGCCTGTTTGGGAATGACGACGAGAGCAAAGGTTTCTCATCCGAGTGGAGAAGTGCAACTGAAGCACAACATTTTGTCTGAAGCAAGCAGAAATTACAATAAGAAGCATTTTAGATCTGTGTTTACAAAACGCAGCCAGATATTTCTTATGTGTTTTTATATATCTTTTTTCTGCATGAGAAATGCAGAATTCTGCGTTAATGTGACTCCTGGACGCACACACAATCAATAACCGTCAGATAAATGGGTGCATCTAGCGGTAAGGCCTAGTCGGCAATCACCTCTTAAATCGTGGTGTGATGTGATCACATTTTATCCTAAGCCAATTGCCTCGATTGTGTTATTGTTCCAACAGTGTACTTACTACTGATGAAACACCGCAATGAGAATGATAAAGCGCAATGTCTAGCACGATACACAAATTACACACTCAGAAACCAGCTATTAAGAGTAAAAAATATACAGTATGGAAAATCAATGTGTTAGATTGCACTACAGTCATTTAGCAGAGGCTCTTATCCAGAACAAATGTACACCTTTCATGTTGCCAGCCATGAACCCTCTGCCCCTGCCTGGGGTGTATGACAAATGGGAGCAACCAATGCAGTGTTTTATCTGCAATGTTGTGAACGATTCACCTCACTGAATAAACCCGTGAGACTTTTCCCCTGCAGTCAGTGTATGACCGGGTGATTACCGCTTGCATGGTGATGAAATCAGTGTTCATTGGTCAGGTGGTGCCCAGGGCACTTAACATTCACAGCAGAGTCCAGGCCAAAGCCCCACGCCTCTTTCCTCTAGCTATCTGCTGCTGGTAACCAATTCTGACTGCTCTGTTACATCAGTGTCAAATCCACCAACCGCTGATAAAAAAGAACAACCGTTTCCGTTCGTTATATTCCTCATTGCTGATTTTGTGTAGAATTTATTGACTAGGCTATCTCTAGATTTGATGTAGGTTCTTCTCATGCTGCTCTCTCAAATGGTTCCCTTTCTCTTGCTAAAAAATAGGCCTACTTTCTACTGTCTGCAAATAGCAACAGGTGGAAATTCCCCAGCCTTAGGATCACCTAGGCTACATGTTGACTGATATAAGGAATGCATTGGATGTTCCTCCATTAGGTTACATCTTTTAGGATGTTTTCTAGTTACCATGGGGCTCTGTGCCTTTAGGTCACCCTGTCGTAGGTGCTATGTTGAAGCAAAGGCTGGAATTGATCTTCTCTTCCAATGCTCTCCTTGCTTTCCTCGTTGTTGAGAAGGAGATGAGGAGCAGGGACATGAGGAATGCACTGGAGGAGAAGAAGCCCAGGAATCAAGGAAAATACTGCTGTGTTTTGTTTACTGGTCTGGGTGAGACAACGTGATCCTGGGTCGGCAGGTAGCTTAGTGGGTAAGAGCGTTGTGCCAGTAACCGAAAGGTCGCTGGTTCTAATCCCCGAGCCGACTAGGTGAAAAATCTGTCGATGTGCCCTTAAGCAAGGCACTTAACCCTAATTGCTCCTGTATGTCGCTCTGGATAAGAGCATCTGCTAAATGACTAAAATGTAAATGTAAATGTAATGCTCCCAGTAGACTAAGAGGCTTACCGTGGCTGATGACCGTGGCTGGCACCTCAGGTTAATCCCAAGTACCATCAATTGGCTCCTGAGTGTACACTATGTTTTCCTGTAGGATGATCCTTGAGACGCACTAAAGCCCTCTTAAATTGATTTTGTGTGAAGTAGTGGATAAGATGTGTTGAAACCATGAGACCAAAAAGGCCACTGATTTGATTATTTTATTAATTCAATTATTTGAGCCCTGTTGTTTTGAAGCCCTTGTCAGTTGATTTCATATGAATTGTTATCAGCCAATTCTGAGGGAACCGGGAGAAGTGAAATGAGTTTGGGACTGCCTGGAGATTTGGCTGCACAGACAACTGTTACTCTGTCCTGCTTTTTACTGTTCTGTTGGACAGTCGTTGGTATGGGAACTGAAGTTGGCTGCTTGAATCTGGGTCATCTCTCTACTCTACATGTGGTAGGATCTCCCTACAGGGGGAACCAAGGGCTCCAGACTAAACGGTCACCGTGACATGACCAGGCTGCCTCATAGTGATCCAATTTACATTTTAGTCATGGGTGTTGGTGGCGGGAAGGTAGAAGAGTGGGGTTACTGGGAGAGTTGAACAGGTGAAACACCTGATGAAAATGAGGATGTTTTTAACTCTGGCTGGGTGTCACATTATAATAATATACCTGTAAGGCTTGTTGGAGAATGGGTCAATACATTCTATTGATGCAACAGAGGTCAGCTGCATTATTGTGACCTCTCCTTATCTTTCTGGCTCTCAGTAGTGTGATGAGAAGAGCTGGCTTTAGACACAGATGCTCTTTACTGTCATATGAATGTTCTCGTCCCTATCCGCCCTCTCTGACTGTTCTTCTATTGGGTGTCTGTTATGCATTCATAATACTGACCTCTCTTTTTCGCTCCTATTTTCTTGCTCTCTTTCTCTCTACTTCTCCCTCTACTTTCTCTCTCCTCACTCATATTCTCCCCTCTCTCTCTCTTTCCAGATGCAGTTTAGAACTGACTGGTAACCCTTCTGCAGGCGTTCCTCTCGTCTCGTTTTTGGAGCCAGAGCTTTTGGGGGGCAGAGTCCTGCGTTAGTGGCAGAGCCTCCATCCCCCAGTTAGCCGGAGTCGTCATTGTGCATCGGAACACTGTCGCTGTCGGAAGTGTGTGTCTGGTGTTGGTTGGATTGAACTGATCTTCTGACCGGGGAAACCGCAGCAGCTGCAAGCCTCGCCCTCTGCTCGACCACCCCTGGCCCCGCCTACATCTCCCTGCCTCCACCATGGTGCTGTCACAACGGCAACGAGACGAGCTGTGAGTAACGCACACACACGACCAACAATGTTAAAACACAGACACACAATCCACAATGTTGTTGCAATAACTAGCTGAGCTGCTGTTTCTTTGATATCCACCACCAGCTGTTCTTTAGAGCAGCCCTGAATAACACAGCCATGTGACATCAGCAGTACCTGTGACGGTCAGGGACTGTGGCTGGTGAATGTCTTTAGTACGTGGGCTAGAAGCCACATGAGCTCAATACATGCATCTGTGTTCAAAAAGGAGGGAAAGCAGGTGAACACTGAAAATTGTGTTCCTTCCTATCCCCCCTGCGAATTGCAAACCTTGTTAACCATTCGATCCATTCCAGAGACTAAAAGCAACAGCTCTAGCTAGTAGTTAACATTGTTCTCGTCAGACAGACATGGATGCAGTGAAGGAAAATGCCCACTCACTCACAGCACAAGATGTGCGTAGATAATTTTTTGGTGTCTAACCAACCCTGCGGTGTCTGTAACCCTGCGGTGTCTATGAACTTGGGAATTAACCCCTGAGGCGGGGATAAGAGGGTTAACACAGCCCTGTGTCTGATCAGATACATGATGAGAAGTGTGAGAGAGAAGGTTACGATATATGGGGAGGGGGTGTGTGTGAGAGTAGGGCTGTTGCCGTGACCGTATTACCGCCACACCGGCGGTCACAAGTCATGAAGGCAGTCAAATTCCATGTGAACGTTTAGTCACGATAATTAGGCTTCTCCAAGCTCTGATGCTGCTGATTTGTCATTAGTAGCCTACCAAACTTGCTAACTGCCTGGTACTCAGCACTCTTGTCCCTCTAATCACTCTGACATCAATGCAGATGTCTTCGAAAATCTCATCAAACAATTGATGAGAGCCCATGAGCTCATGTTGCGCAACATTTCAATAGGCTATGCAATTGTGTGAGAATAGAGTGATGTCCTCTACTGAAAAGAGGAGGATCAGCTTTCTATAGGCTAGGCCTACTAGATTTATTTTTCAACTTTCCAAAAATTAAGCACATTGCTTATATTTACAACAGGAGTATAGCCTACCTGGCTGGCATGAAAATAAACCACGGGGAAAAGCGCATAGATTACATGTATTTTTTCCCGCTGCCCCTGTTTCGATACAGGTGCATGATAATGGTCCATTCTAAATCAAAACAAATTTCTCACATATTATTTAGTATATGTAAAGACACGATTCAATCAAGAGTAGTCTGATGGGTGACAATATTAGCTTATCACTTGTGAATTATATATTATCACTTGTGAATGATGCCCAGCATAAGAAACTTTTTTTTGCAACTTTTTCTAATCATAGTCTCACACCTCATGTAGCCTAGCCCATAGGCCTATATGTTTTAATAAGGTTTGTGTCAGAACTGAAGTGGCCAAATAACTTCTTAAAATTAAGCACGTTAATCCGCTTTACAAGGGGTGTAGAGTTAATTTTTTTTTACATAAGCAGCGATTGAGTTTCAAGTTTGGGGAAGATAATTTTCACCATAAAAATGCGCCTTTATAATAAAAGCATTACATGCATAATCGCATTTGTGGTCACTTTTGATAATGGTGTTTTCCCGCTAATGGAACATTCTTGCTTAAAGCCTACTGCCGTGTGCTCATTGCTGCACTTATAATGTGAAGAAATAGCCTAATAGTATCTGAGGTTGGCTTGGGGTATGGGGATTACAGATCTATAGGAGAGCAGAGGGGAGAGATGCGTTTAATTAACACTCAGTAATCTCAGGGGTTGCGTTAATGCAGAAGTCTGCGTGGAAAAAAGAGAACGCATATCTAAAATGCTTGTTATTGAAATAATAAGCACTCGTTGTCAATAAAATTGTTTCATTCGCGAACCAGCATTCTATCAGCAGACAGCACTCTGACTGACGTGTAGACACTTTTCTCCAGTAACTTCAAACAAAACATTAGGAAATGTAGCTGGCTACATTCTTTCTATGATAAACATTAGAAATATGATGATCATGTGTAGTTATTGCAAAAAAATACCTTGCTTTTTCATTGTAAGCTAATTTACTTTTAGCAAGCTATGTGAGGCTGCTAGCCAAATAGCATTGCACTTCTGTTGTCATCTGATGAAAATGAAGCTATTTTCTACCGAATGTGTTGCAGTAATGTTTTTTTCTGCGAAGGAAAACTAGTTACGCCCCTGATCACTCTATTTAAGCAATAATAAAAAAAAAAACATTTAACCTGTGTTTTAATATTGACATTTTAAGATGCAGATTTTTTTATGGTCTGCGTTTTGAAAATGCTGATTTCTGAAACCTAACGTGACCCCTGATTCTAATGAAAATATTGATGTGTTAGCAAGAGTTAGCCTAACCATGAATTTATTTGGATTGATGAACTAGGTTAGTGCTGTTACCATATCTGTAATGAGATGGGTTGACTATAAATGTGGTGGTCCTTCACATGACAGAACATAACACTCGTCATACTCTTGACAATGTGTTTCTGTGTTTTAGTTTAGCCTCACAGACGCAGGGCCAGCCGAACTCTCAGTATCGCTATCGAGTGTTCCGTTGGAATTCTAATCCTCCATGCTCCTTATTCAGAACACTGAGCAGGCTCCTCACATTCTACTCCATTATGTAACGCCTGGACGGACACACACGCACACACACACAAAATACAGGAACCAGTATGGGACCATTGCCCCATGTGAGCTGCCAGGCCGACGAGGAGCGGCATCTGTTGCATTGCATCTAATGGGGCGTCCTTTGGCCCTAGTGTTTTAAGAGGAGGCTCTTGACAGTAAAACACTGTGTGACCGACCAACTGCCGCTCCCGCTCTGTCTGTGTTCTGTGAAACCTGGTGGGAAACCGGGCGGCCATCTTGAGTCCTTACAGCTAAAACAATGGACTGACTGGGGGGAAATGGTGACTGTTACCAGCTGACTGCCCGCCTGCCTCCTCAGTACTCTATGACCCCCGTTCCCCTCCCTCACCTTCTTCATGGTTTATTTGTTGTCAAGCTGCACACAAATAGTTCTTGTTCCCGTTCTATTGAAAACTTCCGCACCCCCTCCATATATTTTTGTGTCCCAACTCAACTGTCAGATTGAGCTGGAGAGAGAAATGTGTGAAAGCTTCTTTAAATTGCTAATGCTTTTTGGAAGAGAGTCTAGTAGAACAAGGATGTTTGGCTCACTGGTGATATAAGACATGCCACCATAGAGATTGTTAGTTCATGGAGAAAGAATGGGGAAGACATTTCTGTGTGCTTGTTTTTAGACTTAATATACTTTTTTTTAACAAACTTTGTGGTTCTTGGAGATAAATTTGCAATAGCTACTGAATTCCTCACTGTTACAGTGAGGGGGGAAAAAGTATTTGATCCCCTGCTGATTTTGTACGTTTGCCCACTGACAAAGACATGATCAGTCTATAATTTTAATGGTAGGTTTATTTGAACAGTGAGAGACAGAATAACAACAAAAAGATCCAGAAAAACGCATGTCAAAAATGTTATAAATTGATTTGCATTTTAATGAGGGAAATAAGTATTTGACCCCTCTGCAAAACATGACTTAGTACTTGGTGGCAAAACCCTTGTCATGTTTTGCAGAGGGGTCAAATACTTATTTCCCTCATTAAAATGCAAATCAATTTATAAAATTTTTGACATGCGTTTTTCTGGATTTTGTTGTTGTTATTCTGTCTCTCACTTGTCAAATAAACCTACCATTAAAATTATAGACTGATCACGTCTTTGTCAGTGGGCAAACGTACAAAATCAGCAGGGGATCAAATACTTTTTTCCCTCACTGTAGATGTAAATGATCTATCTGTCTGTCACCTTATTCTGAAAACATAAATATTTTTTGTCGTAAGTGTCAAGCCTATTTGTCAGATGTAACAATTATTAATTTTTTCACAACTAGTCCTTTTCTATTCTTATTTCCAGAAGCAATGAAAAGCACATTTGTTTTTCCTGGGTCACTGGATTCAAGCCCAGAGACCACGGCGGTAAAAATAGATGTTCCCCCTGCCCCAGACCTGCTGGCAGGAGGCAGACATGTGCAGATGGGCCAAGTTCAAGCTTCTTCATTTTTTCCTGCTTCACAAAGAACTTCTCTTTAGTCTTTTCCAGGTCTTTTAGTCAAATATTTTTCATGTGACTGTGTTCCTTCTCAGCTGCCCCCACTAGCTGTGACTGCTCTGACGTAGGTGCATCATGAATGTTACAGATTATTAACAGTGAAAGTACATTGTACAGTCTGAGGCTAATGGTACAGAATAGCACTGAGGACAGAACAGAGTGACACTCATACAGATCTTTGATCCGCTTCTATGTGACCGACTGGAAAAGGAGGCCAATTTTAAATCAATGTCATTTTTCAGTCTTGATTGTTACTTAACTCTTTGATTCATTTTAGGTTCTATGGCTTTTATTTTTGGGGTAGCTAAGCTCCTCGTCTCTCCCTGTGGAATTGTCAGGTGACTTTCCTGAATATGTTAAAAATGGAGACGTCATCAAATGTATGACAATTAACACATTCTGTTGGCAGGTACGTTGCTGTAATGGTACAACAAGCTCAATCACTCCCTGTACTCTGTATTGGGTGTGGCAGCTGGCTTCTATAGGAAATTGCTCACGTGTCCATCTTGTCTACACACACTCCTGTGGCGTGCTCCTGGTGTACTGTGTATCCAGTGTGGCTAGGTGGGCCGGCAGGGGTCCATCATCAATATGGATCTAATATCCAGCCCGTCAGACAGACACAGACGGATTGTGTAGGGACACCACTGTTCTAACTTCACTGAAAAATGCTGGTGCTCAGACTGCCATGAAAACATAGCATACATTTCTCAGAGCATATTTCTTGAAACCTGTTCCTGTTGTGTTGTTACAGAGGATGTTTTTAAGTCTGCTTGTTGAACCTTGTGCATGAAACGTGGAACAAATGTGCTTTGTATGCATTACACAAGCATGTAGTGTATTTTAGCAGGCTAATTTAACTGAACCTGGCTTTTGTGGGTCTTTCTGCTAGCCCTCTTTGCTGCTGAAAGCTGAATACATGAGTTGGTAATCTAAAGCCTCCTGAATCCTGGTAGGTTAACTCCGCTCTCCCTTTCTCCTCACCCTCTCTCCCTCTCTCTTGCTCGCTCCTCTACCCCATTTCTCTCTCTCTCTCCCACCCTCTCTTTTTCTCTCCCTCTCCTCCTGTAGTCTTACTCAGGCTGAACAATGTAAAGGCCGGTTGGTTTAGTCTGTGCCCTTGACTCCTGAGAGGTGTGGCTCTGTAGAGCCCACCAAATCCCATTTATGCCTGCTGCTAGTGGAAGAGGCCGTTTGTTGTATGAAGAATTAGCTCTTCATACTCCATCTACAGCAGATTGTGTTCACCATGCATATTATGTGTGTGGCGTGTATTTACAGCTGACTCAACAGTTTTCAAGCTAGACACACACAAACACACACCTCACCTCCATGTGTTGTAGAGCTCACTGACTCTCCTCCAACTAGAACATCAGTACCATGTCATTGCCTCTGTATGTGGTGTGGAAACTGACTTGGCTGGTACTGGTAAATACTATGGTCAGAATTACCTTCATATCAGTCCCTTTCCCTGTGCAGATTCACAGCTTTTTAGATAGCCGTCTGGAGTTCTGTCCTACCCTGAGGGATGAACCATGCTGTTATCCTCTAATGTGATCCCAAACCAGTCAATTCCATTTTAACTGTAGCCTCCACTGCTAAAGGGGGTGCATTAGCTGGCTGAGTATAGACCGTGACATACCCACCTATCTCACAGACAGATAATAAGTTAACCAGGCCTACTTTATGGTGTTGTTGTTATTATTAAAAGCGCGGAGGCTAAATGAAGGGCATAAAACCATGATATGTATCAATTTATCCTCTATTTGAATTTAATTCAACCTTCTCTTAGTAAATGGGTTTGTGGATTAATTGGCTAGTTAAGTGATTGATCGCTGCAGGTATGAAGACTGTTAATTACCACTGTCTAATTACCAAGACATGGGGCCAGTCTCAAATTGTACCCTATTCCCTATATAGTGCAATACATTAGGCCAGAGCTTCCTATTCCCCATGCCAGAGCCCTATGAGACACTGGTCAAAAGCAGTACACTAATATAGAATAGGGAGCTATTTTGGATGCAAGCCTGGAGTAGCCCAACCCCACCTATCAGATGCATTCAGCTGGACAGAATTCGTAAGACTGACTGGTCTTTTTCATGGACATTTTAGGGTTGCCCCCAGGGATACAACCGTAAAGACCCAATCCTGTTTTATGAGTGGTTCAAACCCCTGAAGGTTAGTAGAGGCAACTAGTCCTCTCCTACACATTCTCAGTGAACTGTTGAATACAGTACATACAGTGAGGGGAAAAAAGTATTTGATCCCCTGCTGATTTTGTATGTTTGCCCACTGACAAAGACATGATCAGTCTATCATTTTAATGGTAGGTTTATTTGAACAGTGAGAGACAGAATAACAAAACAAAAAATCCAGAAAAACACATGTCAAAAATGTTATAAATTGATTTGCATTTTAATGAGGGAAATAAGTATTTGACCCCTCTGCAAAACATGACTTAGTACTTGGTGGCAAAACCCTTGTTGGCAATCAGAGGTCAGACGTTTCTTGTAGTTGGCCACCAGGTTTGCACACATCTCAGGAGGGATTTTGTCCCACTCCTCTTTGAAAGTCATTAAGGTTTTCGAGGCTAACGTTTGGCAACTCGAACCTTCAGCTCCCTCCACAGATTTTCTATGGGATTAAGGTCTGGAGACTGGCTAGGCCACTCCAGGACCTTAATGTGCTTCTTCTTGAGCCACTCCTTTGTTGCCTTGGCCGTGTGTTTTGGGTGATCGTCATGCTGGAATACCCATCCACGACCCATTTTCAATGCCCTGGCTGAGGGAAGGAGGTTCTCACCCAAGATTTGACGGTACATGGCCCCGTCCATCGTCCCTTTTGATGTGGTGAAGTTGTCCTGTCCCATTAGCAGAAAAACACCCCCAAAGCATAATCTTTCCACCTCCATGTTTGACGGTGGGGATGGTTACTTTGGGGTCATAGGCAGCATTCCTCCTCCTCCAAACATGGCGAGTTGAGTTGATGCCAAAGAGCTCCATTTTGGTCTCATCTGACCACAACACTTTCACCCAGTTCTCCTCTGAATCATTCAGATGTTCATTGGCAAACTTCAGATGGGCCTGTATATGTGCTTTCTTGAGCAGGGGGACCTTGCAGGCGCTGCAGGATTTCAGTCCTTCACGGCGTAGTGTGTTACCAATTGTTTTCTTGGTGACTATGGTCCCAGCTGCCTTGAGATCATTGACAAGATCCTCCCGTGTAGTTCTGGGCTGATTCCTCACCGTTCTCATGATCATTGCAACTCCACGAGGTGAGATCTTGCATGGAGCCCCAGGCCGAGGGAGATTGACAGTTCTTTTGTGTTTCATCCATTTGCGAATAATCGCACCAACTGTTGTCACCTTCTCACCAAGCTGCTTGGCGATGGTCTTGTAGCCCATTCCAGCCTTGTGTAGGTCTACAATCTTGTCCCTGACATCCTTGGAGAGCTGTTTGGTCTTGGCCATGGTGGAGAGTTTGGAATCTGATTGATTGATTGATTGCTTCTGTGGACAGGTGTCTTTTATACAGGTAACAAGCTGAGATTAGGAGCACTCCCTTTAAGAGTGTGCTCCTAATCTCAGCTCGTTACCTGTATAAAAGACACCTGGGAGCCAGAAATCTTTCTGATTGAGAGGGGGTCAAATACTTATTTCCCTCATTAAAATGCAAATCAATTTATAACATTTTTGACATGTGTTTTTTTGGATTTTGTTGTTATTCTGTCTCTCACTGTTCAAATAAACCTACCATTAAAATGATAGACTGATCATTTCTTTGTCAGTGGGCAAACGTACAAAATCAGCAGGGGATCAAATACTTTTTTCCCTCACTGTACAGGGATCATGGAGAGAGGGAGAGCGAGAGCTCATGCTCCACATAATCCTTTGTTAAAGAAAAATTTGTATTTTAAATTTCCCCCTCCCTTGTTTTTCTCCTTTCCTCCCTCCCCCTCTCAGCGGGCAGAGTAGCTCCTATGCGCTACACTAGTGCTGCTCTTCCATGGCTTCCACTTGGCCGAACATGGTTTTGTGATCTTAACCGCCAGACAGACATCTTACCGCTCTACTAAGCCATGTATGCCTCAGACTCAGAGCAGCCAAGCACCGGCCACTATGGGCAGTAAAGAGTCCCATTCCCTGTCCAAGGATAGCAGTGGTATAGAACTGAAGTAATTAAGAAGCCCACCTCCTCTCTCTTGCTCTCTCTCCTGTGTGTGTGTTGCTTTTATTCTATTGTTTATTTATTGAATGTCTCTAGCTCTATGTAATGAGTCTTTCTCTGCCTGCCAGTCACAGTAGCCTTGTCTTTTATAACTGTACTGAGCCCTCTCCTCCACCCTACTGTTTGTTTGCACTGAGGTTCAGTTCACAGGCCAGGGAGAGAAGCACCATAACACTGAGCCAGAACAGGCCCAGGCTGTGATATCATGCTCTATATACGGCAGCAGGCAGGCAGCGCAGGGCAACTCATACACATTCAGCCTATTCAGAGGTAAACAACGGTCTACCACATAGAAGCCTTAATACACCAATACCACTCTTGGGTTCAAATAATACTATATTCTCTTTCAAATACTTTAGCTGTGCTTGATTGAGATTGCCTGGCGAAATGGAATAGTCCTAAAAGTGCAAATTCCGCCCATCCGGCACTCCAGGCAGGTAAGAAAACAAATACTAGCTAGCTTATTTTGAAACCAAGTCTGCAGGGCATACCTACACACACACACAGCAACACATAACCAGAATATACGATCAAAGACTTGACCTACATACAAATGGATATAAAATTCTATAGACAAGGGAATAGAATTCTATATCTGACAAGGTTCCTCAGAGTTCAGACATTGCTTATAAAACATTCAATGATATATAGGCTAGTGTTTAAATATTCAGCAGGTCTATACGTCTTCTTGTCGACTGCTGTGATGTAAAGTGTACCTTAGAAACCTTGTTACAGACAGATGCAGCGCCGTAGGCTAGATGGTGTCTTTGCTGGCGAGCAGAAAAGCTGGTTTTATAGCCTAGATTGATTGACCAGTAATAAGAAAGATAAGTAGCCCATGGCTTGGTAATGTTTGGTACAGTCCAGACTGAGCGAGTATAGACTATTTCTGAAATGTGTGAATGTCTTTTACTCTATGGGCTGTTGTAAGGTATAAGACTGGGCAGTATGTATCAAGTGTCTCAGAGTTGGAGTGCTGATCTAGGATCAGGTCCCCCCTGTCCATGTAATATTATTCATTATGATCGAAAAGGCAAAACTGATTCTAGATCAGCAAACCTACTCTGAGATGCTTGATACATGTAGCACCAGGTCTCAGTAGAGCTTTGCTTCTAAATGAATTGCATAGTGAATTAGTGATTGTGCAGTGTGAAAGCTGTGCAGCAGCAGAATGGCTGCTCAGTGGTTGTGATCTTGAAGCAGATGTACGTGGTGCGGATCTAGCTCAACAGGAAGTGATGTCATCAACAGACAGGCAGGCTGGCTGGCAGCAGGCTAGCACTGTCTCAGAGGGATGAGGTAATGCAGCTGGTCTCTCTCTCTCTGTCGGTCTCATTCTCTTCCCCTCTCTCATCCGCTGTGATTTCTGTCTCTCTCTGTCATACTGAGCTACCGCCCTGTTTGGTTTATTCTTCATGGAACAGCTCTCACTGTACTGTCTCATATCTGTGCCATTTGAATACCAGCATTTACCCCTCTGCTGCATTCAGCCTATGTTTAGGGTTGTTTTTATACGTTTTGTGTAGAACTTGTCTACTCTCCTATGGGTGCAATAGCTGGTGAAATCCTCATTAGATGAGAAGTTTTTCGGGATCATGGAGTTTTTTTATAGAAAGGGTAGGGTTGGGGATTGGCTGTCTTCTGGTAAGCAGCATGACAGTCCATTTGCCAGTCACTGTTAAGATGGATAGTTGTTTAGATGGAGAGTTGATATGTGTGATATCGGTGTCTGTTGAATTTGTAAACAATAGTCGGTAGATAGAGCATGTACTCTGAGCGAGGATGTCTTTTGTTGCCTCTGGCCATGGCGGCCCACACTGATACCAACCAACCACACACTGCTTCCTCTCACTTTGTCTCACAGTGGGCTGCTAGCCTGCTTGCGCTCTCTGTTAGTCCTATCTTCCCCTTTCTCTATCTCCTTTCTCTATCTCCCACCCTCTTTCTCCCCCCCTTTTTAAATGTCTCTCCCTTTTCTCTTTCCCTCTGTTTTCTCTTCCTCCTTTTTTCTCTCTCCCCCTTTCTCCCTCATCTGTTCTTGCCGCGTAGTGAATTTGGTATGTGTTTTATTTATATATTTTCCCCCCGGTGGTCGAGCCAGGGTGAGGAGGGAAAAGCTGGGATCTCTCTGTAGTCAGTCTGACTCTGCAGTACTGCAGCATCTTGACTGTTGTCGACACTAGAGTGCTTTTATTGTCCTTCCCCATCTGTTTGTTGCTCTTATTGTTACTTCCTGTTCCTATCTGAGGTAGAATAATGAATTGGCTTCTCATTTCCCCCCTTCTTCCCTTGTATGGAGTTAGCTATAAAAGTTGTTACTGGTCAGGGATCAGACTCCGTTATATGCTCATTCCCCATCAAGTTAGATCTGTGCTAGTAGGAAAGTAAGTGGTGTGGGACTGTAAGGGTTTAATGAATCTGAAATGAGATGGGGTGATGTGTATCTCTCTATAGGCTCTGCTAGCCCTTGTGCAGGGTCTTGTGCTTATCTGGAGGAAAGGACAGAAAAGGCTGTGGCTGTTTTGGGTTCTTTAATATCTCTGTGTAGATGACACAGAGGATCTTTTGTTTGGCCCGTCTCAACTGAGAGGCCCACAGAAAACCATTGTCTGCTGCAGCAAGAAGCCCCAGAGTCAGACTGACTATTCTGTTGCAGCCCAGGATAACACTAGTACATTCGCACGACCAATATGCTTTAGGGGTTTCTGTCTCTGTCTGCTGGGCCTGGGTGACGCTAGGGAAACACGGTACAAGCCAGACACACGCGCACACAGTCGCGCGCACACACACTCGCTTGCTACTCTTCTGCACAACACACCAACCTCCTCCCCAGACCTGCAGAAGGCTGTCACATGAGCGATAACCTCCTGCTGACCTTCAGCTGTAAACACACTGCTTCTGTCATCTGGGAGTAGATGGGGATACAGGAGGAGAGTGGGATACAGGAGGGGTGGAAGGAGGATGGGGGGGGGGGGGCAGGGTGGTACAGGGTGCAGTTAGGCTGCCAGGCCAGCTACATGCTGTCCTGACACTGTCAAACACACACACCACTTTAAAGCCAGCCAGCCTCCGAGTCTCTGTGCCAAGCCCAACACCTTTTTATTATTTCTGGTCATTTTTCTATCAGGTGAATAGCCTTACCCAATGCCCACACACACCCAGACCCATACAATGCTGTGAGAGTAAGCCCTCCTTGAACTTTGACAGCTATTATCGATCTTTACTACTTAAACTCACATTTCCGTTCTCACTATAAATTAATTATGTTCAGACCAGGGTTTCTGTTTGCCGGTAATAGCCAGCTTTTGTCCGTTAATTGTCAGAGAGAAGAAGAAAAAAATCCCATCCCGCTTTTTTGCCTATTCATTGATGGAAATACCAGTCGATGGAAATGTAGTACATTCGTAAGGTATTCAGACCCCTTGACTTTTTCCACATTTTGTTACCTTACAGCCTTATTCTAAAATTGATTAAAATACATTTTTTCCCTAATCAATCTACACACAATACCCCATTATGACAAAGCGAAAATAGGTTTTTAGACGTTCTTGCAAATGTATTAAAATGAAAAAACTGAAATACCTTATTTACAAAAGTATTCAGACCAAGGATGCACCGATATGACATTTTTGGCCGATACCGATATCCAATATTTTCCTTGCCAAAAAACCTGATACCGATAAACGATATTTAAAATTTTAGCTTCCTTTTAAGCATTCTAGTACAGTTAAATAGTTGAAACAAAGTGTAATTTGTTCAGTTAGGAACAGATTGTTTAATAACTTGTAAATGAGAAAAATGACATCCATGAATGTATTTTATTGCACAACAGATATTCATGACACTAATATTTTAGCTGCCCTGCATTACAAAGATGGTTCAGTTGTTGGTGGCTCTTCTTACTATCCAATCTTGACTGTAGGAGAAACTTAAATGCTTTGAAATAAATATTGGTTTAAACTAAAATGCAGTTCATCTTTTATCTTTAACTGCTTGAAAAAATTACTGTCTCTAGGCTGTCATAAACTGCTATAAATGGCACAACTTAAACTTTTCAAATGTGCTCAACTGCCTTGACTAATAAAATGCAAGCAAATTTATAACACATCTTTCATTTAGGAAATTAAAAAAATAAACAAAACTGCTTTGTTTTAAATAAAATGAAAATCTTGATCTATACCAGCCATTAATAAACAACAGAAAAGCATTGGGCTTAGTCAATTTTTTTACAGTGACTCTAGATGGCTGGGTTACGATATGACTGCCCATTTACAGTTTTAACATTTGGGGGAGGTTTTTCTTCACAAAGAGGATGTGCTCGCTTTGTCACAAGAGAGTCGGTTTCTGTTTTTGTCTACAATGTGTGAAGCTGCACTGAAAAGGCGCTCACTTTCTACACTAGTACAGGGAGCACCAAGCGCAACTTTAGCTAGGATGGGGAAACGGTGCTTGTTACTTCTCCAGTATCCAAGTGCATCTTCATTCCTGGGAATAGTAGGTTCTGTCAGGTATGCTAGTATCGGCAAATAATGGAAAAGGGTGGGGGGGTTAGTACATTTAATACAACATATTGCATTATTGTTGCATTCCAAAGGATCATTTGGCATAGATCAACATTGGCAAATGTTGGCTGATGTAGTAACAGAAAATGAAAATACAACTCGTCGCTCTCTCTCACAGACACACACACACACACACACACACACACACTGACCAAAAGGTTATTCGTTGGCATTTACATATGTCCCCATTACCAGTAAAACATAATCAAAACCTATTTCTTTCACTTATTTGCTGTGCTGTTTCGTTGTTCATTTGTTCAGTTCCATTCTCAACCAGGATTTCATCATACATGTCAAGCAGTGAAGTTTCAGCTCTGTCTGTCCGTGGCCCCTTCTGTCGTGGGTCCTCTTCCTTCGTGCGCACTGTCACCGTGTCCGTTTCCATCTTGTCCAGCTGTGTCTATAACATTTCACGTAAACCCTGTTTCTTGTCTGCATCGAAGTAGCGGTCCTTGTACCTAGCATCGAGCATGGTGTCGACACAGTAAAGAGGCTCAGAGAATGCCACCGAATGGCATGTTCACAGCTTCTAGTAGAGGCTTTTGCAAGTTTTAACCCCACGGTCTGTGTTGGCAGTTTTGTTGAGCAGGCGTTTCGATGCCATGACAGAGGGTATCACGTCTGCTGCAGACACAGTTGATGAGCTTATTTCTCGAGTCAGTTGTTCGAATGGAGCTAGGAGTGTTCACTTTTTCAGTGAGAGTCCACTGGTTTGTACTGATTGTTGCAGGTAACTCATAGTCTGCTACGTACACGCCAAACACTCCTTTTTGTTCCAGCAGCCTCTCCATGTAAAAAGTACTGTTCCATCTGGTGGAAATGTCTTGCTTAAGCCTTTTTTGTTTTTTCACTCCAAGCTGCTCCTGTATTGCTTGCAGGCGGCTGTATGCTAGCTGTGAGTGTTTAAAATGACCCACTATCTTCCTACCTGTTGCCACTGTGTCAGATATGCTGCGTTGGGCCAAAACACCTTTGTTCACATCCAGTTGCAGCGTGTGTGCCATGCATGGAAAACTGACATCTCCGCATTCTTCCAAAGCCTTTGTCATGTTACGTGCATTATCACGTAGCACAGTGTGTACTTTGTTCTTGGGGATTTTCCAAGTTTCAAACATGTTCTCAAATGCCATTGAAATGGCAGCAGCGGTATGAGAACCAGCACATTCTTGAACATGCAATACGGCGTTCCTCAGTACGAAATCCTTGTCGACCCACTGTGTTGTCAGACTCAGCATGCTCATGGGACTGACATCGCTGGTCCAAATGTCAGTTGTGACGCTAATAGCAATGACGGCCATAGCAAGTAGCTCATGGATGTGCGTTTCAACAATACTGTGTCACTCCGGTAGGGCAACATCCGAAAAATAGCGCCTACTTGGTAGTGTGTACCGGGGCTTGAAGTGCTCGACCAGTCGGCCAAAGCCAACATCATGCATGACAGAGAACGGTTGATTGTCAAGGGCAATGAATTCCATTATCTTGGCGTTAATGGATTTCGCCTTTGAGTTGTCTCGCTGAAATGTTCTTACTCTTTCAAATGACTGCTCGACTTGACCTTTTTTAGTTGTTGGAAGTATGCGCTTAGTCTTTTTCTGCTTTTGTTCTATGTAATCTCTGAACGTCTGGGGTGATGCACTTTAAAATGAGTAAGTAGGTTTGTGGTATTGTAAGATTTCACTTTCTCCCCTCGGGAAATAATAACAGCAACAACGTTGCATATGGCCTTTCTGTTATCTTCCTTTGAAACTTCAAAATAAATCCACACAGCTGACATTATAATAAAAAAATTGTATGCCATTTAGCAGATGCTTTTATCCAAAGCGACTTAGTCATGTGTGCATACATTTTTACGTATGGGTGGTCCCGGGGATCGAACCCACTACCCTGGCGTTACAAGCGCCATGCTCTACCAATTGAGCTACAGAGGACCACATTGTGGGCTAGGTTAGGAATGCTGTGTTGCACGTGTAGCGCTGTATTTTTCGTGACATCATTACGTAATCTACCTACGTTATACAGGCAGGCACGTCAGCTTTGACATCGGTTTTGCACATCGGCATTAAACTATACATAGAGCCGATGCCGGCATTTTTAGCTATTATCGTCCAATACCGATATATGGTCATCCCTAATTCAGACCCTTCGCTATGAGACTTGAAATTGAGCTCAGGTGCATCCATTGATCATCCTTGATGTTTCTACAACTGGATTGGAGTCCACCTGTGGTAAATTCAATTGATTGGACATGATTTGAAAAGGAACACATCTGTCTATATAAGGTCCCACAGTTGACAGTGCATGTCAGAGCAAAAACCAAGCCATGAGGTTGAAGGAATTGTCCGTAGAGCTCAGAGACAGGACTGTGTTGAGGCACAGGTCTGGGGAAGGGTACCAACACATTTCTGCAGCATTGAAGGTCCCCAAGAACACAGTGGCCTCCATCATTCTTAAATGGAAGAAGTTTGGAACCACCAAGACTCTTCCTAGAGCTGTCCGCCTGGCCAAATTGGGCAATCGGGGGAGAAGGGCCTTGGTCAGGGAGGTGACCAAGAACCTGATGGTCACTCTGAATGAGTTCGAGTTCCTTTGTGGAGATGGGAGAACATTCCAGAAGGGCAACCATCTATGCAGCACTCCGCCAATCAGGCCTTTATGGGAGAGTGGCCAGACGGAAGCCACTCCTCAGTAAAAGGCACATGACAGGTTCACCTTCCACCAGGACAGCGACCCTAAGCACACAGCCAAGGCAACGCAGGAGTGGCTTCAGGACAAGTCTCAATGTCCTTGAGTGGCCCAGCCAGAGCCCAGACTTGAACCCAATCTAACATCTCTGGAGTGACCTTAAAAAAGCTGTGCAGCGACGCCCCCCATCCAACCTGATAGATCCTGAGACAATCCACAGGGAAGAATGGGAGAAACTCCCCAAATACAGGTGTGCCAAGCTTGTAGCATCATACCCAAGAAGACTCGAGGCTGTAATTGCTGCCAAAGGTGCTTCAACAAAGTACTGAGTAAAGGGTCTGAATACTTATGTAAATGTGATATTTCCGTTTTTTAATGTGCAAAAAAAATCTGAACCTCTTTTGCTTTGTCATTATGGGGTATTGTGTGTAGATTGAGGGGGAAAATATATATTTAATCAAATTTAGAAAAAGGCTGTAACGACACTGTGGAAAAAGTCAAGGGGTCTGAATACTTTCCGAATGCACTGTACATTTGACTTTCCATGCTTATTAGTCTATAGGTTACTTTGCATAATTTAGTGCAATTAAATTGCCGTGTGTGTACAGTATATTCGTTATGTGGGCTATCTTATTTATCACACGCGTACAGATACAGAGCCCTTGAATGGAACATCTGTCAGACAGCACAAAAGCTGCAACTGGGAACTCTGAAAAATACAAGGTCAAATCATGACGTCAGAGATCTAAAGGTTGGAAAGAGGCCCGAGTTTCCGAGTTGGATGACCTTTCGAAACTATTTTTCCGAGTCGGAGCACGTTTTTTCACCAGTTGTCTTGAATGCACTGAAGTCGGAGGTCTGAGATTTCCGAGTTCCCAGTTGTTTTGAATGCGGCATGAAACTGCAACGGAAGGCAGGCTTCATCAGCGCGTCACACCACTTTGCAATGAGCTGGAGGCAGTAAGCATTTTGAAAACATGCGGTGTGTGTGTATATATATACAAAAGTACAGTACCAGACAAAGTTTGGACACTTACTCATTCAAGGGTTTTTCTTTTCTTTTCTTTTTACTATTTTCTACATTGTAGAATAGTAGTGGAGACATCAAAGCTATGAAATAACACATGGAATCATATAGTTACCAAAAAAGTGTTAAACAAATCAAAATATATTTTAGATACTTCAAAGTAGCCACCCTATGCCTTGATGACAGCTTTGCACACTCTTGGCATTCTCTCAACCAGCTTCACCTGGAATGCTTTTCCAACAGTCTTGAAGGAGTTCCCACACATGCTGAGCACTTGTTGGCTGCTTTTCCTTCACTCTGCGGTCCAACTCATCCCAAACCATCTCAATTGGGTTGAGATCGGGTGATTGTGGAGGCCAGGTCATCTGCAGCATCATCACTCTCCTTCTTGGTCAAATAGCCCTTACATAGCCTGGAGGTGTGTTGGGTCATTGTCCTGTTTAAAAACAAATGATAGTCCCACTAAGCCCAAACCAGATGGGATGGCGTATCGCTTCAGAATGCTGTGGTAGCCATGCTGGTTAAGTGTGCCATGAATTCTAAATAAATCACTGATAGTGTCACCAGCAAAGCACCAGCACACCACCTCCTCCGTGCTTCATGGTGGGAACCACACATGTGGAGCTCATCCATTCACCTACTCTGCGTCTCACAAAGACACAGCGGTTGGAACCAAAAATATCAAAATTGCACTTATCAGACCAAAGGACACATTTCCACCGGTCTAATGTCCATTGCTCGTGTTTCTTGGCCCAAGCAAGTCTCTTCTTCTTATTGGTGTCCTTTAGTAGTGGTTTCTTTGCAGCAATTCGACCATGAAGTCCTGATTCACACAGTCTTCTCTGAACAGTTGATGTTGAGATGTGTCTGTTACTTGAACTATGTGAAGCATTTATTTGGGCTGCTGTATCTTAGGCTGGTAACTAATGAACTTGTCCTCTGCAGCAGAGGTAACTCTGGGTCTTCCTTACCTGTGGCGGTCCTCATGAGAGCCAGTTTCATCATAGCGCTTGATGGTTTTTGCGATTGCACTTGAAGAAACTTTCAAAGTTCTTGAAATGTTCCATATTGACTGACCTTCATGTCTTTAAGTAATGCTGGACTGTCAGTTCTCTTTGCTTATTTGAGCTGTTCTTGCCATAATATGGACTTGGTCTTTAACCAAATAGGGCTATCTTCTGTATACCCCCCCTACCTTGTCACAACACAACTGATTGGCTCAAATGCATTAAGAAGGAAATAAATTCCACAATTAAACTTAACAAGGCACACCTGTTAATTGAAATGCATTCCAGGTGACTACCTCATGAAGCTGGTTGAGAGAATGCTAAGAGTGTGCAAAGCTGTCATGAAGGCAAAGGGTGGCTACTTTGAAGAATCTCAAATATAAAATATATTTGGATTTGTTTAACACTTTTTTTGGGTTATTACATGATTCTGTATGTGTTATTTCATAGTTTTGATGTCTAAACTATTATTCTACAATGTAGAAAATAGTAAAAATAAATAAAAACCCTGGAATGAGTAGGTGTGTCCAAACTTTTGACTGGTGTACTAACTGTAAGTCGCTCTGGATAAGAGCGTCTGCTAAATGACTAAAATGTAATGTAAATGATGTACTGTATGTGGACACACCTTCAAATTAGTCGATTTGACTTTTTCAGCCACACCCGTTGCTGCCATGCAATCTCCATAGACAAACATTGTCAGTAGAATGGCCTTACTGAAGAGCTCAGTGACTCAACGTGGCACCGTCATAGGATGCCACTTTTTCAACAAGTCAGTTTGTCACATTTCTGCCCTGCTAGAGCTGCCCCTGTCAACTGTAAGTGCTGTTATTGTGAAGTGGAAACGTCTAGGAGCAACAACGGCTCAGCCGCGAAGTGGTGGACTACACAAGCTCACAGAACGGGACCGCCGAGTGCTGAAGCGCGTATAAATTGTCTGTCCTCGGTTGCAACACTCCCTACAGAGCTCCAAACTGCCACTGGAAGCAACGTCGGCGCAAGAACTGTTCGTCGGGAGCTTCATGAAATGGGTTTCCGTGGCCGAGCATCCGCACACAAGCCTAAGAGCACTATGCTCAATGCCAAGCTTCGGCTGGAGTGGTGTAAAGGTCGCAGCCATAGGACTATGGAGCTGTGGAAACTCATTCTCTGGAGTGATGAATCACGCTTCACCATCTGGCAGTCCAATGGATGAATGAGTTTGGCGGATGCCAGGAGAACGCTACCTGCCCGACTGCGTAGTGCCTACTGTAAAGTTTGGAGGAATAATGGTCTGGAGCTGTTTTTCATGGTTTGGGCTAGACCCCTTAGTTCCAGCGAAGGGCAATCTTAACGCTACAGCATACAATGACATTCTAGATGATTCTGTGCTTCCAACTTTTTGGCAACAGTTTGGGAAAGGCCCTTTCCTGTTTCAGCATGACAATGCTCCTGTGCGCAAAGCGAGGTCCATACAGAAATGGTTTGTCGATCGGTGTGGAAGTACTTGACTGGCCTGCACAGAGCCTCAATCCCATCAAACACCTTTGGGATGAATTGGAACGCCAACTGTGAGCCAGGTCTAATTGGCCAACATCGGTGCCCGACCTCACTAATGCTCTTGTGGCTGAATGGAAACAAGTCCCCGCTGCAATGTTCCAACATCTAGTGGAAAGCCTTCCCAGAAGAGTGGAGGCTGTTATAGCAGCAAAGGTGGGACCAACTCCATATTAATGCCCATGATTTTGGAATGATATGTTCGTCGAGCAGGTGTACACATACTTTTGGTCATGTGGTATACTTAATTGTTTGAAACCTGAACGTTTTAATACATATTGAGGCATGTCTTACCTTTCTTTAAAGTAGCCTATTAGATCTCCTCTTTCTACATTTCTAACAGATTATCTGTCACATGAAACCGCTTGCATGTGCAGTCCACTTTTGACAATGGTGTTTTCCAGTTAATTGCATTATGGAACGAACATTCGCGTGTAGCCTACTGCCTTGTGCGCATTGCACCCAATAGATATGGGTCTGGTACATTTCTCAAATGTCTGTTAAATTAAAATGTTACTGGTCAAATGTCCTGCGCTACATTTTCCTATCGGAAACCCTGGTTCAGACATCAACAGTTTCAGCTGAATGACTTCAGGCACTGAAATAACCTAGCCATGGGTGGGTAAATTTAGCCTCTGCTGTGGTTAGTCGATTCGGCTATTTCAGCCACACCCGTTGCTGCCATGCAATCTCCATAGACAAACATTGGCAGGTCAGTTAATTGTATGTGTGTGTGTGTCCCTCCGAGCGTGTCTTTTGGGCCAACCCTGAACAAAGAGGAAGCGTCAAGCAGTCATTTTACTGTGTAGCTTCTGTCTGCTCTATTGTCACGTCTATCTCAACGTCTCCACATCTCATACCTCTAGCTTTCACTTGGCTCATGTCTCGTATTCATGTAAAGGATTTTGTAGATAGCTGTGTGTGAGGAGAGTATGCGTGTCTGTCTGCAGGTGTTTCTTCGGTGTACAGTAGTCTGGTTTTCATTTTCTCTCTACTCTGTGGGGAGTGATTCCTCCATTATTTGCCCAGAGCAACAAGAGCTCATTATCGACAGCAGACACTATCTATCTGTGTCAAATTGGTCTGTGTGCACGTGTGGCCATGGGTGTGCGTGTGTGATTTTTCTATTCAACACGTCAAACAAAAGACCAATGCAATTTACATGTTACTCAGACACGCTTATTTTCTTTCTTTGTTTTACCTGTAGTCAAATTCCTGACTCAAGCCTTTTCTCCATTTTAAGGAGATGTCTCATCTTCTAAACAAGAGAAACTCTAATCTCGACTGCTTTTAACAAGATAACTAATTGGTATTTCTTTTGTTCCATTTCAGAAATCGAGCGATAGCTGATTACCTTCGTTCCAATGGATATGAAGAGGCATATTCAACTTTCAAGAAGGAGGCAGAATTAGACGTGGTGAGAAATGATGGAACATTACACACACAGTAACACACACACACACACTATCAATCAAGCCTATTTACCCAAACAATACTGCTTTAATTTACACTTTATTCCCCCTTTTAATTGACGCAGACAAGTGTGACTGAAACCATATGAGCCCAATTAAGGTGATCTGAAGCTATGATTAGGGTGTCTGTCACACACACACACGAGGGAGAAGCTGCAGTCAGGGAGTGGAACAGAAGATGAAGATAATCTCTCTCCCTGTTTTCCTAGCTGTGCTCTACCATAGCTAATGTAACGGCAGGTATCTAGCAGCTAAAGCCCCGAACAAAAGTGCCCTTTGAATTTACTCAATGTACAATCTCTCCTCAAACAAGACAAAACAAAGAGCAAAGACAACGTGTGGCAATTTTAACATGTCAATGCTCCCTTCGCGCTCTCTCTCCCGCTGCCTCTCTTTCTCTCCCCGTCTTTGTCATTACCTCCCTCTTTGTATAGCACAGAAGGAGAGGTGTTCAGTCCTTCCTCCTCCCTACTTAGTGGAAACAGCCTGAATAATAGAAGATTGCTATGGATGGAGAAGCTCCCTGACGCATCTGACACCACCCACACACACACAGGCACACCTTGTGGATTGTGTTAAAAGCTTGCCCAAATGATGTTGGCAATTCCAGCCTTCCATTGCCTTAATCTAGTCAATTCATTACCTGAGGAGGTGATGCCAATGGAGAATGGAGGCATTTCCCCTAATGCTACATCAACAGTCTTTGTCTTGGGTTTCTTTTAAGACCTGCAAAAATAATGTTATGCAGTATGTAGCTGTGTAGGTGAGCAGAGTGGCATTGAAGGTAGCATACTGAACAGCATGCCACACCTCTCGTCTGGCACTGCCCGCACGCAAGCACACACACACACCCTGCTGATAGACTGGCAAACCACAGTGATTAGAAGGTGTGTGGATCACTGACAGTGTGTGTTAAGCCATCGGCAGAGGGTCTGGGCAGATGGCAAATCAGATTTCTCTCTCGTCCCTCTTTACCTCTCTCCCTCTCTCTTCACGGACACAGTGCTACAACTCCTTTCATCCCTCCATCCCCGTCACCTCTCCTCCTCCCCTCTTCTTATCGCTCCAAGCGCTAAGAGAGGCAGCAACTGTTCTCTTGGACACCTCTGATTTTCCAACAGAGCGATTTCTGCCAAGGAGCAGCAGCCTAGCTTCAGAACACACACCTCCCCTCTGTGCCTATAGCACTACTCCACACTTCTACATTTTCTCTTTTATTTCTCCTAAGAGGGGAAAACATTTATGAAATCTACCACAAAGCACATTTTCTCCCCCACTGAAACAGTGGCTAGGCTGTCAATCTGAATTGTTGATGGTTTGTTTGATAGATGAGCTGAAGCCGGTGACCTGGTATAGTACTGTACTGAATCACCAGAGAAGATATGTGTTTTGTTACCCCCATCCCTACACACCTCTCTCCCTCATGGCTCTTTCATCCTCTCCCATTAGTAACACCACATCAAGAGACAATGTAAATATGTAGCAACTCCTCTCAGCAAACACGCCATCCCTTTCCCTTTTTAGTTTTAGAGTTTAATAGCCACATAGCTATTAGCTCCAACAATGCAGGACAAAGTGAAGTAAAACAATAGAAATATAATAAAAATAGAAATTAGCCCAGTCTTTGGCAATCTGTGCCCCCATGCATATTTCAGACCGCGGAAATTGTGTGTCTGTAGTGGTTGAGTGTGTCTACCACACTGTTTGACTGCGTCCGCCTTCATGTGTCTGTTGGGGAGTGCTGTTGTCTAGACTGTAACATGTGTGGGAGGATGGAGGAGAACCCACCTGGTGTGTGTGTGTGTGTACGCGTATGACCCTGCTCAGTGTGACTGGGTCTGATTAGCATGTTGTAGAGGCAGGTGTGGGGCTGAGCTGCAGGTGACAGATAACTCGACCTCACCCTGGCCCGTTGGCACCCCCAACACAATCGAGCTGGGGGGGGCTTCATATGCCTCACGTCACACACACACACACACACACACACACACACACACCAAACACTTATTTTCTTTGTCCTTTTCTGCCTTCCATGAATAAAACATGTAGGCTCGTTTTTAGGCGAAGTCTTGATCTTTGCTAGTACCCATAATGGGTTTCACCTAAGTTCGCCTTACTCCTTACCCTAGCCAGCCTGTGAACACGTACCAGAAGTCCCTCCCTCGCCCTTTAGTAAAATGGCCTCCATACCCCTGTTGCTAGCCTTTCCTCCAGGTGGAAGCCACTCTCTGCCAGGCTCCCTGAAGTTAATGTCCATCCCCAGCAGACTTTGAGGGCGTAAACCCTTGTCTGCAGGAGATTAGCCTGTGTGAGGGGGATTAAGAAGTGTGTGTGTGTGTGTGTCTCCGTAAGTATGTTTCCGTGTGTATGTGTTTTTACAATTAGCCTCAAGGCTGACCCTATGTGGTGCGACCACTATTTGGATGTAGGGGTGTAAATCCCATTCCTTATTACTGTGTACACACACACACACACACACACACACACACACACACACCTTATTACTGTACCCAAAGACTCTGCCTGCAACCTCAGCTGCCCCCCAGGCCTAAGCTAAGCTCTGTGCTTAGATTGTGTGCGTGCAGCGTTCTTTTCCTAACTCTTCTTTCTTTTCATCCCCAACCAGAATGAAGAGTTGGATAAGAAGTATGCTGGCCTTTTGGAAAAGAAATGGACCTCAGTCATCAGATTACAAAAGAAGGTTTGTGGTTTGTTTCAGGGGATGCTGTTGTAGCTTGTGGGGATTCTGTCTGCTAGTCTTGGCCCATGACTGCGGCGGAACATCATCTGATCAGATACTCACCATACACTCACCATACACGGCGTATTAAAAAGGTTACAGTACAAAGAATTGAATGTGTTAACCCAATGCCCTTATAATATGATGAGATCGTTTGATATGGGTGGCATTGATGTGGTTACTTAGCAATACACTGAAGCTGCCAGCAGAGATTTCCATGTATCCATCAGCGTTAGCAAGTTTATATTAGACATTTTACTTACGTAGTATAGATTATACACATACTGTATTCCAAAATGGGGGTAAATTCACCTCATCCACCATCAATATGTATTTCCCACCTGATGATGCACGGCAGCCATTTTGTGCCAGAAATGGCCAGTTTCCTTCTATGTAATACCACATATCTTACTGTGATGGTAACTGTGTTTTCATGTCCGTCCCCGTCCCCCCAGGTGATGGAGCTGGAGTCGAAGCTGAACGAGGCCAAGGAGGAGATCACCCTAGGTGGGCCCGTAGCCCAGAAGCGTGACCCCAAAGAGTGGATCCCTCGCCCGCCGGAGAAGTACGCACTGAGCGGCCACCGCTCCCCTGTCACGCGCGTCATCTTCCACCCAGTCTTCAGTGTCATGGTGTCAGCCTCCGAGGACGCCACAATAAAGGTCAATAGAATAATCATCATAAACAACAACAGTCTTTACTCTATGTCTAGGTCATTCTCCAGGCTGGTTGTAAAGGTCCCTGAAGACTGCCTAAACAGTGCTAAGGGAAACAACGAGATCAGCATAAACGAGATGCAAGCAACCCACCCCAAACATCTTCCCCAACGCTGTGGTGGCAACTTACTTTATCCACTTGACTTGTATGTGTGTTGACTGTATATGTATAACTGTAACCAATAAGGCCTGGGTTTAAGTCCCAGTTCAGTCAAGGTCAACTGCAGAGCTGTGTACCAACCATTGAACTGCATAATCTTTAACCAATTCACGTCCTTGTACAATATCACAACGTGCCACTGAACAAATTCTGTTTGGTGTAAATGCATGACATTTGGTGTCAACATAGTTAGTGTGTAATCAGGCCACATAGATAATGACAATATTAAAATATCAATCATACTTCCAGTGCCAATCAAAGATGGGCTTTTGAGAAAATGTGAAGAAATCATTTAAAATGACTTCAACATATTTATTTTGAAATACATTTAAGAATTAAATTGTTTAAAAGCATGTGTTATTTGACCTGTTTTAAGCCCAAATATGCTAAGTGGTTTGTTAACTACAGCCGTTTTTGTATCGTACTATATTCTTTGGACACACACGTACCACAGACACACACACGGGTGTGCATTGATGTCTGTGGTATGTGTGTACACACGTGTGCTTGTGAGAGAGGGAGAGAAAGAGGGAGAACGCTGTAGCAGGCCTCATTCTCCATTGACTTGCATTGGATTTGCTTATGCTGTATAATATACTCTAGGAGTGTGTGGATTTCTTTAGATATTGCTTTCACAATAACAGAGGACCTACAACGCGCTCGCGCTCTTCTTTTGTCAGGACACGCCTACAGCAAACCCCCCCCCCCCCCCACACTATCGATTGACATCCATCATATGCTATGTATAAATGCATTGATACAGGCAGTATAATAATCACCCTGGTTCATCCACAATGCTATTTTTTTCAGCCAGCCAGGTCTGGTCTGATGCGCTACCACAGCTACCTACCTTCGTGCCCCAGTTCCTCTATAAATATTTTTGCCGTGTATTTTATTCATGTGGAATCAGACTCCTGTTCTCTATTTTGCCATGCTCCCTCCAGGGGCCTTCACCACCTCCTCCTCTCAGCTAGCACTCATTCTCCTCTATTTGGCTACACTACCACAAGGGGCCTCCTCCTCCGCCACCACCACCTCCCCCCAGCTACCCATCGTCATTCCCAGCATCCCTCCCCCCGTCCCACCCCGTTATTTCCGCTTGAGTGCTGGCCCCTCCGCCACGACCACTATCCATCCATCCCAGTCAGGCCTCAAATCTCCCAATCTGCCCCCTCTCCTCTTATACCTCTTCTTTCCTGGCCTGGCTCGCCTCACTGTCCCCTACTTTCCCTCCAAACCTTGCTGTTAAATATTTTAACTTGGGAGCTGAACTTAAGAGCTCTGCAATCTGACATTCTCCTTATTTCTCTTTCTCTGACATTCTCTCTCTGACATTCCAGTAAGGCTGTGTTGGTTTGCCTGCAGTCTGAAACTAGTGTATTTTTCCTCTTTGTTTAGTATGCAGGGAGTAATTGTCACGGGGCATTGGTGCTCTGCAGACAAACTGCTTGCCCTCACTCCTTCCCTCTCGCACTCCCTCTCGCTCTCCCTTTCTTCCCTTGTACACTGCTCTCCCTTCTGCTAACGTAGCAAATCTATACAATCCTTTTTTTAACATGTTACCAGCCTTGAGCTCGCCACCTTGGCAGTATGTAAATCTGCAGGTTTTGTGAGCAGTGAGCCTTCTCTACTTCCTTCACTCTCGGTTTCTCCCTTCGCACTCTCTCTCTCTCCCCGCACTCCCTTTCCCTTTCTCTGCATGGTGATAAGAAACCCTGTCCCTCACACTAAACTAGGCCGAACAGCTTGAGGTTGAGTGTCAGGTTAACTGCTGCTTATGGCAAGAAAGACCATGCGGATGCCTTTAGCACAGGCTGGACCCCGATTATTTTAAAGTGACTATTTTATAGTGTCATTCTCGCAAAGGTAGGCCTATATTAATTACTGCTTTGATCTTTAAATTGAATATAGGTTCTCTTCAGTTGGTCAATGGAAAGACTTAATCAATTTTAGTCTCTCTGTCTTAGAGCCAAATCGTTACGAGTGGCTAACATTCATTTTATGGTTGTTTATCTCATGCTGTAGTCAGTACATAAACACATTTTCAGGTTAGCTTCCCCTGACCTCTGACCTCACTACCTAATGACCTTCTGCAGTGCATCTAGACTGCAGCTTACGGAGCTGATAGGCTACATGGGTCTGCAGAAAATGCCATAAAAGCTAGAATAAATTGCACCACCGTGTTTCACTAGCTCGCCACTTGCATAGGTAGCACAAGCTCAGCATTGATGGGTTTTGGTGGCAGAAGCACAAGCTCAGCAGACCAAGTGATAGTCTTGGTGGTATTGGCAGACTTAACACCACGCCATACTGGGTGGATTTTGTGGTAGACTAGACTCAAAACGGGAGGGGAGAGGGGGCGGGTGGACTTGGCAGTGGAGAAAGCCCAAATGAGGCAGAAGGAGGGGGCTTCTGTCACTGTCTGCCCAAATCCATCCCCCACCACCTCTACCCCCCCCTCCCTCCCCTCCTGCTTGCTCAGCGATGGAGGAAAAGCTTATCCCCACAGTGCCTGCCTGTCTGCCTGGAAACACAGGGTGATGTGATAGCCATTATGCTTGAGATGCAGCCAAACTAGTGTTTGTTTTTGACCCTTTTATTTAAGACTCAAATCTCTCTGTCAATATCAACACAATCACAATAGACAGACTCCTATTTATTCAACCACCATAGTCTTACTCTTGGCTTATTTCCTTCTCTGACTATCCCAATATGGGGATATTTGAATTGATACGCTTCAGACTGTTGTAGTCTTCTAGAAACAGTAATTTAATCAGACGAGGAAGGTTTTGAACATTGAATATGTATGGGGTCGGTGTTTGCATGTTGAGACGCCGTCTGGCTTGTAGGCTCTCGTCATTCTGTGCTATTTGGAGCTCTAGAGACGAATCTCAGACAGTGAACTGTGGGTAGCTAATGTCTAGAGAAGTCTGTCTGGCACCTCACCCAGGGTGTGTTGGAGCTCCTGTGATATGACATTAATATGATCTACTGCAGATGATGGAGCTATCCATATCTCTCTCTGTGCCAGTCTCAGCCTGCCTCCTATAAGCCTGTTTTGGCTGCTTGGAGGCAGTGTCACAGGGTGCAGACTAGGCTAGACAAGACAGTGTTATTTGGGGTCTCTGTCGGGGTGTGGGGATTTGGGGATTTTTAGATTTTGGAGAGCAGCTGAGTTGTGTGTTTATGTTCAGGTGTTTGTGTTTTCATGCGTGTTCATGTTCACATAGCAGCTGAAGTTTGGATTTGTGTGTTCATGTGTGTACTTCTCTCCCATCATCTGAGCTGTGTGTGTTCATGTATGTGTTCTCGTTTTCATGTGACCTGTTTTGACAGAGAAACTGAAATAGAGTGTGTTCTCTCCTCGCCAGGTGTGGGACTATGAGACAGGAGACTTTGAGCGGACGCTGAAAGGTCACACAGACTCTGTCCAGGACATCTCCTTTGACCAGACTGGCAAGCTGCTGGCCTCCTGCTCTGCAGACATGACCATCAAGCTGTGGGACTTCCAGGGCTTTGAGTGCATCAGGACCATGCATGGTGAGTGGACTGGAGGGACAGGAGAGGGTGGGACTGGTTAGAGAGCTAATGGGTTGGAGGATTTTATGTCATAGACTATGAGGAGGATCAGGGATGGTGAGGTATGTCTGATTGTTTAGTTCAGGCAACGCTTGGATGATTCCAGACATGTATGTGTGAGAATGTGTTTGGATGGTGCGTTGGGACACAGGTGCTACCGATGCTGTTCATTATCACGTATGATATGGCTCATCCTCACTGAAGTACATGGCAATCTGCTCCAATTCACAGAAAACCCAGTGAAACAAAAGAGCTTCACATCACAACCAAATTCTGTCACACAGGATTTAATGTTAATGCCAGCCATTCCACACTTCTTAACATCCTCCCCAATCTAACTCCTATAGGCGGTGGGGACTTGTTCTCTCGCTCTCTCTCTGTCTCCCTCTCTCTCAGGAATTCAGTAATTTGCACCGTTTAATATTAAGATTTGGAGGGCAGAATATGAGAATCATTTCTGTATTCACACACATACACACACACACACACACACACACCATCCCTCAAGACGAGGTGCTATTTCTCTTATCATCAGCACTCTAAATGTACCAGTCCTTAGGCAGTGTCACTGCCCCCCTCCCCTCTTTTAAATCCTAATTGCTGCATAAATTGAAGTGGCACATCTTACGTGTGCCTTCAGGCCCCACTGAAACAGGAGTGGCTTTCCTATTCCATTGGAACTGTCTGGAGCTCCTAAAACATATCAAGACTTAATGTTTGACATCTTATGCCCCTTAAAATCTCCCCAAAAACGTCTCTCAAATTGCCCAGACTAAGAAGTATGCTACATGAATGAATATGAATGCTTGAAGTAAATAAGATGAAAATGAGCTCATATTCCCCTTCTTGACTAGGGTTCAGTAATTATTTTAATCCATGTTTTAGTTGTAAACCTAGACAAACATAAATCCAAGGTTTTCAGTGTGTGTGTGAGATATTAGCGGTTTCTCCAATCCCTTTTTGGGTGTAATTTACACTGCGTCAGTTAGAGCTGGCATGTTGCCCCAAAACAGACCGGCTGTGTTCACACTGAAGAAACGAGAGCTCTGGGACCTCTTCTCTTTGTCTCCCTCCCTCCCTCTCTCCATCCCTCTCTCTGCTCCTGCCAGTTCCACTGCGCCAGCTTTCCTGTCATCCTCCCATCCCTTCATATTCTCATCCTTTCATTCTCTCCAGTCCTTCTCTTCTCCTTAACCAATTTCCCTTCTTTCCTCACCCTTTCTCCTCTACACAGTTTTCTCTCCCCATCTTTCGCTCATCCTCTCCCCCTCCTTCCCTGCATCCCTCCCTCCCACCAGGCTGACTGGTTTGGTAGTGAAGATTAGGAGATATTTTGGACAGTCAGTTTAATTATTATCCTCTTCACTCAGCACCAGATAGCAGCCCTTATGTGAGGCTTTCACCACCCATTATTATAACAGCCAGTAGCGCACTGTGGGGCTACTGTGCCCCCCCCCCCCCCCCCCCCCCCCCCCCCCCCACACACACACACACACACACACACACTCACCCATCCAATATATTTAAGCTTGCCTTTTAGAGCCTACTTGCTGTTTCCTCATCTTTTTAGCTGATTAAAAATGGCCGCCCTACTGTCTTGGTAATTAGCTGCCTCTTCTCCAGGAACAAAGACACCCTGGGTGTAATTGGCCGTCTCACTACTCATGTTAATTGGCTCATTTGGACAAAACCTATTTTATGGCACATTTAGTTCCGGGGACTTTATCAAGGGGAAGGGGATGGGGATGACTTCCTGTCAGTGGGTGGCATTCAGAAATTGAAAGGTTTGGGCAAGAAAAGCTTGCTAATGCATTTAGCCCAATTTCCCTCTGTCTGAAGTACAGTACTTGGACATTTCACCAATAGTTATTTCAGTCACCAGTGGTTGTTTGGAAAGGGGACACCTAGTCAGTTGCACAACTGAATGAATTAAACCTAAACTTGTCTTCCATATTTAATCAGAGGTGGGGGGGCTGCCTTAAATCAATGTCATAGGTGCGCAGTTGTTGTTGGGGGTTCACTGCCTTGCTCAAGGGCAGAATTTTTCCACCTTGTCGGCTTATGGATTCGAACCAGCAACCTTTCGGTTACTGGCCCAGCTACCTGCCGCCCAGTGAAGGTCTCATTGCGTTGTCTTTTCTTTTCCAGGACACGATCACAATGTTTCGTCCGTAGCCATCATGCCCAATGGAGATCACATAGTATCTGCCTCGAGGGACAAAACCATTAAAATGTGGGAGGTGGCCACTGGGTAAGTATGCTGCATAATAGCAGTCAGTGCTCACCATGAGCCTAAATGTTCATATAAGTGTGCAGGAGCTTCTCTTCTTTGAAATAGTATTCAACACTTCCTATGCTTCTGCAAAGCAAGCAACCATCTTTAACCCATCTCCCCTCTTCCCATCCATCAGCTACTGTGTGAAGACGTTCACGGGCCACAGGGAGTGGGTGAGGATGGTCCGGCCAAACCAGGACGGCACCCTGATCGCCAGCTGCTCCAACGACCAGACGGTGCGTGTGTGGGTTGTGGCGTCCAAAGAGTGCAAGGCCGAGCTGCGGGAGCACGAACACGTGGTGGAGTGCATCTCCTGGGCCCCCGAGAGCGCCCATCCCACCATCTTGGAGGCCACTGGCTCAGAGGTGAGAAGGAGCTGTTGATAGACACACACACTTCACTAAAGGCTTTGTCTCCTCCTTGGTCCCCAAAAGCACATCATGCAACCCCTTCGTCCTCAAAACGGCCACTGCTGACTCTTCAAAAGCACATTATACTTATGCCCTGTCCTTTGATCTGTGCCAAAACCTGTATGTACATACATGCCTTAAGTAACATGGTAATGTACACATCAAGATAATACTGTGCACACGCCCATTTAAATGGTACGGCTAGGTACATACAAGTATCTGATTGCTCAAGGGAAAGTAGACCTAGATATTCCCGGGTGAACACCCAAGTTAATAATATGCACACATCCTACTGTGCGTGTATAGCTTACATGTCAGACAATTTACTTTGCTCTCCACTCACCCTCTGACTTCCTATATATCTGGGTTATTTGGTATTCCCTAACCTAGTTATCTGGGTTATTTGGTCTGTCGCCTAACCTAAGATTGGCACCTGACAGAGCCAGACATGTTTGAATCAGACCATGAAATGAAAAGTACAGGAGGAACCCTGTCATGGCCCAGGGTCAGACCATCACCCTGAAAGGTGCCCCCGTGAGTCCGCACGCACTCACACACCCTGGTGCCCCCGTGAGTGTCCCGCTCTCCACGGTCTTTTGATCATGCGTGTCCAATTTCAGCTGCATCCAATTTAAAACATTTACCCTCACAGGCAGCTAGTGGCCCTGTCAAGAACCATGCCTCCCTGTCTGCCTCAATGCCTGAGCGCAATGATACACAATGTCCCATCTTCAGAACTCACGGAAGGAGCCTCAGATAGTTGTTTTTCCTCTTTAGCTCTCTCTTTCTGTGTTTACCCATTTGAATGCTAAGTCGACGCAGTGATGGTATTGTTGAACTTGGCTAAGAGTCAAGCCAGAAGAGTAGATGCGTGCACGTACAAACATAAACATACACGTAAACATGCATACCTCATTACCCTCGCCTTTGATCAAATGCTCCTTTTGAATACTTGAAGAACTTGGCGCTTAGTAGCAGAGCCGGTAGAATGATTTCTCCTGACATCAATTATACTGTCACACTTTATGTTCTGTGGACTAAAGCAGCCAAATGTGACTCTGACATTTAAGACTGCTCTGCTCTACGTGCTGAAATGAGCCTGCACAGGGGAACCCAAACTGTTAGAACGCCCTCCCCTGTTGCAGAACTGAGGCATGTAATGACTTTTTTTTATATATCTCTGTGTGTATAATACCCCACCCACGCATTTGGTGATTCTTTGTTTGCCTAGTGCCTAAATAATGAGTTGGTGCTGAAGACTAAATAAATGGTTATATCCTCCACACACATGCTTAGCTGCCAAAGATGATATTTGATTTTAAAATAAGAGATGAATGGTAGTTTTGGTAAATATGGACAAATAAGATTTATACTGCACCACAGAGCATGTAGAAATGGAACAATTGAATCCAAGTGCAAATTTGGTAAATAATCAAATATTTCCCTCAGCTGTAAGGTCCCCTCAGTGCAAGTTTGCGCTACTCTGTGTTCAGAATCACTCTTAAATCAAAGCAGAGTCTAGTTGAACAAATAAAGTGTAGGTCTGTGCCCTGCTCTGGAGATGCATCCTCTGATAATTATTCAATTTGCAGTCCATTTCCCCTGATGCTAAGGTGGTATTTATTTATCAAAGGCTGTGGTATAAAAATGCATTTAATTCAGAGGGCAGCTGGCTGCATATAGTCCTTATAACGAAATTATCAAGGGTTGATGTCGCGCAAGTGAAGACTGCTTAAGGTTCTGTATTGGCAATTGGAGTTCATCGTATTCTCTCTCTCTCGTTGTCCTTCCAGTCTAAGAAAAGTGGTAAGCCGGGCCCCTTCCTGCTGTCTGGCTCCAGAGACAAAACCATCAAGATGTGGGACGTCAGCATTGGGATGTGCCTTATGACACTGGTGAGTGGACCGTTAATCATAGACATACAATAGATGGTCATTTCGATTCATGCAGTTTTGAATTGAAACATTTCCCCATTTGTGATGTCGAATCCATTTCTTCACATGACATGAATTGTAATGGGATTGACCTTCTTGAACACTAGTCTTAACCGGATGCTCTGTCTCCGGTTGACTGGTTTCCCGAACTAAGCATAGTCCTAGACTAAGAAGCAGGTTTGTTTTAGTCCTGGAGTAGTCTGGGAAACTGGCCCTAGATTTTGTATTAACAATTCTAACCAAACACTTTTGTCCCAGGTTGGCCATGATAACTGGGTGCGCGGGATGCTTGTCCACCCCGGAGGCAAGTTCATATTGAGCTGTGCTGACGACAAGACCTTAAGGATCTGGGACTACAAGAATAAGCGTTGCATGAAGACCCTGAGTGCCCATGAACACTTTGTTACCTCTCTGGGTAAGCCGCTCTCAATCTTCTCTTCTCCTACAGTCACAGTCAGCGTCAGTTACAGCTGGGTCTTGTTCAGTAGGCACACTGTAGCAAGATGTTAGCGCTGAGCAATGAACCGAAATGTCAAGTATTTTTTAGTTTTTTTAAACAACTAATTGACCGAGGTCTGTTCAATTATTTGAATTCCATTTAGTTTTTTTTTCTTTTCTGTGAGCTCAATGCGCACATTGCACAGTTTCTCTAGAGATAAATCAGATCCATCATGCTATAGGCCCCAGAGAGAGAGGATCAGGCAGGGGTTAGACAAAGCTGTTTTGGATAGTGGTTGAATGGGGTTAGGGATGGGATAGGTGGGGTAGATTTTTTGATATATTTTGATAAACTGGTCTTGTCTGGCTCAGTATCCTGGGGGTTGCTAGCTGGCAGCTGGGGTCTAAGAGGTAAACAAATGCTCCAGGATTTTCCCACTTTTCCCCAAATCTGAGGCTTCTAAGCGGATCAAGGCTAGGGAACTCTCCGGAGAAGGAGACTCCAGCGATCCAGCCAGCTTTCCTGTCAGGCTAGTGCTGTTTGAAGCCCCAGCCTCTGAAATCTAGCTACACGCACACACAGAGCACTGCTGTAAGCTATTGTTTGCATATTTTTTGGGGAGAAGACAAAAGCACCTTTTGTTGAGGTTGTTGTGCTGTGCTTTTCTGTGTGATGCATGTACCAAGAGGTTAAGAGCTTTGTAGTCTAGTTCATGAAATGCCCCAATTCAACTATTGATAATTTTAAAAAATATATATTCAGGTCATACTGCTAAATGGAATATAGGTTTGATAAATAGCTTTCAATCGCCTTTAATGTGGAAGTTAACTAATTATTCTGCCGTCTCCTCTGGATAGAACCCGATTCTCTCTCTCTCAATTAAATTCAAAGGGCTTTCTTGACATGGGAAACGTGTTTACAGTGAAATAGACAAGAAACAAACACTATCTACTCTTCCTTTGTACTGATGCCCTTTCTCCTCCTCTCCTCAGATTTCCACAAGAATGCTCCGTATGTCGTCACCGGGAGCGTAGATCAAACAGTAAAAGTGTGGGAGTGTCGCTGATCCGATCAGACCTGAGAAGATCGGACCACCACCATCCCAATTACCCCCTCTCCTCCCACCCCACCCCCTCTAGACCTCATTCCACCCCCCTACACCCCACCTCACACCATCTCCTTCATCTCCTCTGGCTACACTCACACACCATGGTTAATACCTTATCCTGTCATCACGCTCTCTGGTCCAATAACTATGGTCCTTTTTATGTACATTATTCTGGATGTAGATTGAGCTATTAAATGTTACACAGCAAAAAAAGTATTCTTGCATGGTGATGATTAATCCAAAATTGTATACTGTAAATTTACATGATAACGTTGTCTAGAAGTACCATAGGTTTAACATGGGCGGGGCTGGCTAAGTCTGTCACTTGCAGCCTTACCTACCTACTTACTGAAGGCAGATGTTTTTTTTGTGTGCGTCACAAATGGCACCCTATTCCCTATATGGTGCAATACCTATGACCAGGGCCCATGTGCCCTGGTCAAAGGTAGTGCACTATACAGGGAATAGGGTGCCTTTTGGGACGTACTCTTTGACTGGGTGTAAAACGTAGGGCACTAACACTGATAATTTAAAAAACGACAGTGTCTTTACGTTTCAGATTTATTATTTTTGTCCGCCTATTTTTATTTTCTTTATATTATTTTCTCTCTCCTTTTTACTGTTGTAGTCTGTTTGTCGGTGACCTTTTGAGGAGGAAAAACAACAAAAGGAAAAGTATAATCCCTTGATGCCGGAGGATATGAGATTGTCTGTCTGTGGGGGTTTTGTTATTGGAATAATATGTAGCTTTGTAACATCACTTCTGAAGTGTGCATACCATTTCTCTTCATGTGGAACTAGATAATATATTAATGGCTGCATATACGAATGTTTCAAACTGTTGTCTATCTTCGGACATCTGGGGGTTGAGAAAACAAAACAGCTTTGTACTCTTGTCATGACGACGCGTCCTAAACTGAGAAGCAAAACCACTCCTGATAGACTTAGAATTATCCTATCCAATGAATTAATTATGTTTATTGAATCAGAACCTTTCTCTTTTGGCATCTGAATGAATTAACCTGGCTAGGCTGCGCACCTGGCGCCCTTATTTCAGTTGGTTAGCATTTAGGCTAAAAACTCAGTGGACTGATAGCTTTCTGGTTAGCATTTAGGCTATATGAGGCGATAGCGGGAGGTTACGCCTCCCTGAAACGCTGCTCCCTGTCTGTTCGGCCCGGTACTGGTTCTTATGGTTGGCCTCAACTGATCAGGCGAGCGCCTCTGCCTTTCTCTAGCACTTGGCCCTTTAGTAGCAGACTTCAGGTATCACTTCTTTTAATCTCAAGCACTTGAAAAGAAGGACCTTTAGGTGTCTCCCTCCCTCTGTAAGATGTCTCACTGATGTCTCAAGTCTAACCTGAGTGATTTCCATTGGACTCAACTGAACCCTCTCCCTTTTTCTAACCATATGACGAATCAGGTGTCGGCTGGGTTTTATTGTCCCTTGTACTACAGGAATCATGTAAGCGATTTGATGCTCAGTTGGCCATTGTCTTGTGCTGCTTGCTTCTATGGACTGTGTAAATTAGGGAGGGCAAGCTTAAGCTTTGGATGAAATATGCAAGTTCCAAATGAGTCGGACTCAGTCGGAGAGACGTCGTCATACCATGACAAGAAGTCAAAGTTGCCCCTCAGGTTTTGGGATGTGCAAAATATCTCCTGGGAAAAAGAACAATAATTGAGAGGTAATAAAGCTGTTTCTGTGGTGGACAAAGACATGTAAACCAAAGCTTTTTACTGAGCTGTGGGTAAGTGTCCAAATCTGTGTTTCCACTGAACTGACTGGTGAACTATCGGGGGGATTCATGGTGAAATGGTGAAATAAAATGCTAGCAGTAGACATGCTAATGAATGCTTGTGCTCTCTGTACAGTAGAGGTCTGATGGTGGTAGTTATTGTAAAGGGATCTTCACCCCTAAGACTACATACAGCAGCTCCCTTGCCACAGACCGGCTTTGGTCTTGGGCTAGGCCTACTAGGATGCGCTTGTGCACAGGAGAGTACTTAGACGCTTTTCCTAGTGAAGAGCTCTTGGGTCGAAACTCCACAGGGCCGACTCTAACACATTGCAGTAGTCTCCTGGTTGGCAGGAACATCTTTGTCCTATTCTGTTCATGTTAATGAGCTAGGAGGCTGAAGAAATAATGAAATATGACAATTGGAACTCATTGTAATCTAACCAAATCCCTCCATGACAATGGAGACCAACCATTCCGTCCTACCCCCCCCCCCCCCCCCCCCCCCCCCAAAAAAATAAATAAATAAATAAACATCTGGCTTCTTCTTACTCTGCAGCAGGCAGAAAAATCATATCTTGCGTATCCCTGCTTTTCGTTAGATCTTTGGTCCTTTGTCCGACTGACGATCGAAGATGTAAGACATTTTAAAATAATTATAAAATGCATAAACAAGATATACTTTTTTTTAATCAGCCTTTTTCCATTACGATGCAATTCTTTAATAATAAAGAATTCCACTTGTTTAACTGATATTAGTTTAAGCTTCTTTGCTGAATAACTTCCTGTTCCTCTTCCTGTGTGTGTTTGATTGGATGTAGCTAGCTGCTGCTGTTGACCTCTGAACCCTCTGATAGTGGCTAGTGTGATGAACCCTGTGACCTTTGACCTGTCGACAATAGCACTGCTGCATGTACCCCTGTTGTACCAGAGGCTGAGCTGTCTGGTCTGGTGGCCTTTCTGGTTCAAGTGCTATGATGTAAGCCACTCAACACTCAGGCCGAGTCTGAAATTGCACCCTATTCCCTAAAATAGTGCACTTCAGACACAGACTCAATCAGTCACAGGCCACCCCGCTAAGCTGTCAAAGGCTAGTCGGTCCACTTGACATTTATATACTGTAAAAAGAGCGAGAAGTAGGATAAGAGAACTCCATCTCTTACGAGAATGGGTTGTACCCTTATTGTCTCTTACCAGTAAGCGGGTGTATTGTCCCTGTGTATCTATGTATGTATACTGTGTATTTTGCATAATGACTTTTCAATGACACCAGACTCTACCAGACAGGTCGGCTCAGGCTGGCTTGATGGCTGCAGACAGACCGCTCTGTACTTAATGTGGTTGTTTGTTTGTTTGTTGCTGTTGGAAGGAGGACAGATCTGTAAATGAATGAACTGGCTCCTTCCTTCCTCTATATGCGATGGGATTGCGGCAGACTAAACATGTTATGAGAGAAAAGAATCCTCCCCTTGAGAGAATACCACTTATGCCTCCTCTAGACTAGAGACCCCCATGCATTTAATCAGACCCAGACTGGTCTTTCTCCAAGCTGCTTTCTCTTGTCAGTCAGAGGGAGGGAGAGACTTTGATTGGAGAGTCGGCGTGCGTTCATTCCGTTACACCATACACCAGCCATCGATAGGACAATTGGACATGGTGGTGCTGATGCACCATAAAACGTGTTTTAGCTGAAGCCCAAAAAATGTAACTGTAGTAGGACATTCTGGTTTAGCTTCAGCATTCAGATGTCCTGATCTGTTCTGTTCTCAATGCTAGACTGTTAGCTTCCTGATTTAAGCCGATTCTCTCTTGATTGGCTAAATTCAGGATTATGATCTCAGGTTCCTTGGGTGTAAATTCTAAACTAGGCCTGAAGTGAACCTAAATGGATATTAGACTTGACTCTTATTGAAAACTCAGCTTTCCCTTTCTTGGGTTAGACAAGGAAGGTCTATAAACAAATTGTCGGGAGGGAGAATGTGTTTCTCTCCTTGTAATATAGTTGTCATTGAATGAATGCTTTACATAACTGTGCTGTTGTACCTACCCTGTGCCCTGTGAAAATAAATCAATTTTGCCATTTGCAGGTCCCAAGCAACCCCTATGCTGCACTGGCTAGGTGGATCAGAGGGACTGGCAGACAAGCTTGCACTGTCTGTTGGTCCTTCCCCCCAGTCTCAAGTCCATCTGTCTGCTATAATCTGCCTTGTGAATAGATTGAGGGCTTCAGACTTCTTCACAGCTTGAACAGGATTTATTGTTTTGCTTTCAACGTCTTTCTCACTCTTCACAGCAAAATTGTTAACAAAATATCTGGATGTCATTATTGTTTGCATCATTAATTAAAGAAAAATCCGTAAACATTGTCCTTTTATTGAGTGAGTGGGGGGGGGTTCTCAACAAAGAACATGCACAGCTTGATATCATATTACATGTCTACAACAGATCAGTTCACTTAGGGATTTACTGATTTTGAGCTAAAGGTTACAGGGAATACGAGTCTTTAACGTTTCATGATTTTCTTCAGCGAATAGCATGATGTATTTTTTCTTGGGTCGATAATGATAGACAGCCTAGGGCTATTGACATTAATCATTAAATGATCATTATTACATATTGCCAGTATACTGTGTGTGGCGTATTAATATAATGGGAGGTATTAATTATTCATGTTCACAGCTGTGAGGTATGCCTAGAGATGATGGAAACCATATTTGATACAGAATGTGATTGACATTTTACATTAACAGACCCCAACATCTAAATCTTACATTTCTAAGACCATGTTGGTGTCTTTAATTCTTTCTTTGCATTCTACCAGATAAGTGCATGGTACCACCTGGCTGGCACCTTCCTGCTATGTCTAGTTGTCTGACTACAATACAATAAATGTCTCGTGATCTTGAAAAAAATAGGTGAAGCGTAAAATGCAGCTCTGGGAACAGATGAATCATGCTGAGCAGTTTAGGCTATGACTCAAATATATACTTGCTCAAGCAATAGTTTAATTAACTTGGATACATTTGAGCAAGTGTCAATCTGTTTTACTGTAGCCCATTTGCGATGTTTGACTGGGTGGGTGGGGTGTACAATTGCCATCATGTTGCCGTCTGCTTTTGAATTAAGGATAATTTGTATGTGGATAATAGATCAACCACACACACTCAACATCAATTATAAATTGTTGCCAGAATACTACTGATGATATGTAGTCTCAGCCTGTCAGGCTTCAAAAGGTCCATGCTATCTGGGATTCTACCCCATTGAAGTAGACATTTAAAATGGTAAGGTTTAGGGTAGGGAGTCCCCCAAGGATTCGGATAGCACTGACCCTTCAAAATGTTGACTCGCTGTCTTTGGTTGACTGTTTCAAGAATGCGCTGAATATTGACGTCAACCAATGTCTCGGCGCAGAGTTGTGACTTCATCCACCATCCCGGAAGAAACGTGAGTTCTCAGTTCGTTTGTACAAGACAACTCTTGACATTTTCGAACATTTGGAATATATTCCGAGCGAATATTTCAGGTACTCAAGTCACCACCAACAAAAGGTTAGCTAATGCTAGCGTATCTCATTTAGAGAGGTCCATCTTGTTGACAGGCAGCATGGAGTTGAAATGTGCTTTAGCTAGCTACAGTAGCTAACTTGGACTTGACTGATGAATGCCTGTAGTTAGTTAACAAGCTAGCTAATATCCCCATAGTTTAACCTGTTGTATGCAGTCTTTTACACGCATGTATGTCAGTTAGCTAGCTTCTTAGCGTTCCAACCCTTTGAAGAGTTAAAGATGTAAATACAATTGTGTGTCATGTGTCCTTCCTCCACAGTGAAGTGAGCATGTCACTAAACAAATCAATGCACCCGCGGAACCGCTACAAAGACAAGCCTCCGGACTTTGCATACTTGGCCTCCAAGTATCCAGACTTCGAGCAGCATGTCCACACCAACCTGGCTGGCAGAGCTATGTGAGTACAGGGGCGTATTCATTAGCTACGGAAATCGTTTACTGTTTAAGAACCAAACGGAAGCAAACAGAACAAAACAATAGGGCATATTGGACAAATTCAGCTAGCTCCCTCCCCGTTTCTTTCCGGTTGCTTCCACTGAGCTAAAGGGTTGCTTCCATTTAATTAACTTTTTGCAACAGAATCGGCGTAATGAATACGCCCCAGTACATATGCTGTAGGTCAGTGGTTCCCAACTCAGGTCCTCGAATATCCCCAACAGTTCACATTTTTATTGTAGCCCCGGATAAGCACACCTTATTCAACTTGTCATCTAATCATCAGGCCCTCAATGAGTTGAATCTCAGATATGTTTGTCCAGGGCTACAACAAAAATGTGCTGTTGGCGGTACTCAGGGACCGGAGTTGGGAACCACTTCTGTTGACTTAAGACTAGAGTGCCATTTTGTGCCACTATTGATTTGGTGTCACACCAGTAAAACCCATGTGTGTGGCAGAATGTTCTTATTTTATTTTCTCGAGTGCAAAGTGCTGCCAACTCCCCAATATGTTCTCTCATTACTGTAGCTTTCTCACCTGTGTGTGTGTTCAGAGGAGGTTCAGAGAGTTGGCAGGAGAGAGGCATCAAAGACAATTTGATTTTCCTCTTAGCCTTTTTTATGGTGTGATGATTTTCTCCCGTCCTCTTTCGGAGGGAATGGGGTCTCTCTAGATTTGGGAAGGGATCAATCAATGCCTCTGCAGGGACACATCGCCCAGGGCCCACATCGCCCAGGGCCCGTCCCATTGAGGTGACCATTATGATTGGATGGCTGACATCCTACTGTGCTAGAGGGTAGGGAGCTGATGGGGTACGGGTAGGGAGGAGGAGGAGGAGGAGGAGGTGAGGTCACTTTAGGTATTCAATGTTCAGTATTTAGACAGGATGACATTAACGGACATCATTGCTTACAACCATGATGATTAGTGACCTGGCCATGTTGGTGCTATAGTTTGTTACAGACATTACCCATAGACACTAGCCTGTGGTTGCTTGTGAGGTTCATTGGCTACAGAGGAAGAAAAAGGGATGACTCAAATGATTAATGCATGCTCTACAGACAGAATCTCAGCTCTGATGGGGAGGAGTGGGAAGTTGGGAACCAGGGCTGGAGAGGGAATGGGAGCTGCAGAGTGGGGGGTTAGGGGGGACAGAGCCTGGGGAGGGATGGAGACAGTCTCAATTCTCCCTGAGCCACTAACTGGAGGGCAGGGTCTGCCAGCCAGTAATTGGGACACACACAGGGATATGAAATATGCAGAGAGAGGAAGAGAAAGAGAGGGGATGGAGGTAGTGGGACAGAGATTGAAGTATGGATAGAGCGAGACGGCGGGAGGGAGAGGCAGAGAGCTTTGGGGCTGCTTTCTATCTCCCTGAGTGGCTTTTCAGATCACATCTCTACTGTCAAGATTGTCCTCACTTTTCCTCACAGCACAAAGGCTTGAGAGATTTCTCTCACAGAACTGACAAGGGGGAAGATTGTGTGATTGTGACTGCTGAGTCCTGTCACATCACATCACGGTGTGCTTTTGTGTAATTTACTCCCCTTCTGGTTGAGGGAAAAACAAACACGCTGGCTGCTGAAGTGAGAGACAGTCAGGGGTAGGAACTGAAATAATTTTCAAATCTGAACAGACAGGTCAGTTCATCAAATTTCTGCCCTGCTAGAGCTGCCCCAGTCAACTGTAAGTGCTGTTATTCTGAAGTGGTAACGTCTAGGAGCAACAACGGCTCAGCTGCGAAGTGGTAGGCCACACAAGCTCACAGAATGGAACCGCCGAGTGCAGAAGCGCATAGCGCTGTCCTTGGTTGCAACACTCACTACCGAGTTCCAAACTGCCTCTGGAAGCAACGTCAGCACAATAACTGTTAGTCGGGAGCTTCATGAAATGGGTTTACATGGCAGAGCAGCCGCACATAAGCCTACGATCACCATGTGCAATGCCAAGCGTCGGCTGGTGTGGTGTAAAGCTTGCCGCCATTAGACTCTGGAGCAGTGGAACCGTTTTCTCTGGAGTGATGAATCACGCTTCACCATCTGGCAGTCTGATGGAGAATCTGGGTTTGGTGGATGCCAGGAAACGCTACATGCCCGAATGCATAGTGCCAACTGTAAAGTTTGGTGGAGGATGAGTAATGGTCTGGAGCTGTTTTTTATGGTTCAGGCTAGGCCCCTGAGTTCCAGTGGAGGGAAATCTTAATGCTACAGCATACAGTGACATTCTAGACGATTCTGCACTTCCAACTTTGTGGCAACGGTTTGGGGTAGGCCTTTTCCTGTTTCAGCATGACAATGCCCTATGCACAAAGCGAGGTCCATACATAAATGGTTTGTCAAGATCGGTGTGGAAGAACTTGACTGGCCTGCACAGAGCCCTGACCTCAACCCCATCGAACACCTTTGGGATGAATTGGAACGCGGACTGCAAGCCAGGCCTAATCGGCCAATATCAGTGCCCGACCACACTAATGCTCTTGTGGCTGAATGGAAACAAGTCCCCGAAGCAACGTTCCAACATCTAGTGGAAAGCCTTCTCAGTCGAGGCTGTTATAGCAGCAAAGGGGGGACCAACTCCATATTAATGCCCATGATTTTGGAATGAGATGTTCGACGAGCAGGTGTCTACATACTTTTGGTCATCGATAGAATGCCGCCGGAGGAGATGGCTGCCGTTTTACGGGCTCCTAACCAATTGCGCTATTGTGTTTTTTCGCGTTTTGTAACTTATTTTGTACATAATGTTTCTGCCACCATCTCTTATGACCGAAAAGAGCTTCTGGATATCAGGAGAGCGATTACTCACCTCGTACTGGACAACGATTTTTTCATTAACGAGTCGGACGCAAAGGATTTTCTTCAGACACCCGACAAGGCCCAAATCCCCGTCATTCGCATGAGAAAGAGACGGAGATATCAGGACGTGTACTCCGAGCATGCACTGACAAACTGGCAAGTGTCTTCAGTAACATTATCAACCTGTCCCTGACTGAGTCTGTAATACCAACATGTTTCAAGCAGACCACCATAGTCCCTGTGCCCAAGAACACTAAGGTAACCTGCCTAAATGACTACAGACCCGTAGCACTCACGTCTGTAGCCATGAAGTGCTTTAAAAGGCTGGTCATGGCTTACATCAACACCATTATCCCAGAAACCCTAGACCCACTCCAATTTGCATACCGCCCCAACAGATCCACAGATGATGCAATCTCTATTGCACTCCACACGGCCCTTTCCCACCTGGACAAAAGGAACACCTACGTGAGAATGCTATTCATTGACTACAGCTCAGCGTTCAACACCATAGTGCCCTCAAAGCTCATCGCTAAGGACCCTGGGACTAAACACCTCCCTCTGCAACTGGATCCTGGACTTCCTGACGGGCCGCCCCCAGGTGGTAAGGGTAGGTAACAACACATCCGCCACGCTGATCCTCAACACGGGGGCCCCTCAGGGGTGTGTGCTCAGTCCCCTCCTGTACTCCCTGTTCACCCATGACTGCATGGCCAGGTACAACTCCAACACCATTATTAAGTTCGCAGACGAAACAACAGTGGTAGGCCTGATCACCGACAACGATGAGACAGCCTAAAGGAAGGAGATCAGAGACCTGGCCGTGTGGTGCCAGGATAACAACCTCTCCCTCAACGTGATCAAGAAAAAGAAGAGGACCGAGCACACCCCCATTCTCATCGACGGGGCTGTAGTGGAGCAGGTTGAGAGCTTCAAGTTCCTTGGTGTCCACATCACCAACAAACTATCATGGTCCAAACACACCAAGACAGCTGTGAAGAGGGCACGACAAAGCCTATTCCCCCTCAGGAGACTGAAAAGATTTGGCATGGGTCCTCAGATCCTCAATGTGCTACAGCTGCACCATCGAGAGCATCCTGACTGGTTGCATCACTACCTGGTATGGCAACTACTCGGCCTCTGTGACCACAAGGCACTACAGAGTGTGGTGCGTAGGACTTCTATACCAGGCGGTGTCAGAGGAAGGCCCTCAAAATTGTCAAAGACTCCAGCCACCCTAGTCATAGACTGTTCTCTCTGCTACTGCACGGCAAGCGGTACTGGAGCGCCAAGTCTAGATCCAAAAGGCTTCTTAACAGCTTCTACCCCCAAGCCATAAGACTCCTGAACAGCTAATCAAATGGCTACCCAGACTATTTGCATTGTTCCCCACCCCCTCTTTTACGCTGGTGCTACTGTTTTTTTATCTATGCATTGTCACTTTAACTCTACCTACATTTACATATTACCTAAATTACCTCGACTAACCTGTGCCCCCACACATTGACTCTGTACCGGTACCCCCTGTATGTAGCCTCGCTACTGTTATTTTACTGCTGCTCCTTAATTATTTGTATTTTTTTGTTATCTATTTTTTTACTTAACAGTTATTTTTCTTAATTGCATTGTTGGTTAATGGCTTGTAAGTAAGCATTTCACTGAAGGTCTCCACCTGTTGTATTCGGCGCATGTGACAAATAAGATTTGATTTGATCTAGTGTATTTACATTCATTGGCCAGATGAGTGTAGGGCGCGAGATGCGACAGACATTCTGCGGTGGGGATAGAGCGAAAGAGGGTGGAGGAGGCTTGGCTTGAAGCGCTGGACAACTTGTTGTTACGGCATGCATACATCTGATTTAGGTCCACAGAATTATACCTACGGAGGAGCGGCTTCTATGAAGGAACTTTGAACGTCTTTGAACTTCAGAGTTGGCTTAACGTTGGACCAGCTAGCTAGCTAAAAAGCTTGTTTGTGCAGAGCGGCACCAGAATTTAAAATAAAAGACGTCTTATGTTTTTATAGTTAACAAATTCAATGTGAAACGTGATAACTATTGTATCATTAACTAGCATTGATAAGGTTAATATATTCTTCTCTAATAAAAAAAACCTGAATCAAGCTTGTAATGTCATTTGTTAGGCTACTAGACTATATAGCTGTGTTCGAATACCCATACTAACATACTGTATACTACATACTTAATGAGTGTATATACTACATACTATATACTATTAGTTCATTTAAGTATACTTTAAACGTAAGGTATCCTTTCAGGAGAGCGTACTAGCGCTTCACTTGTCTACCGGAAGTTGATGCTGTTGCTATGCAACCGCTTGCTAGCTTGTTAGCATAACAAATTACTAGCTAGACATTTTATGATTTCAGGTGTCTTCGTAAATTCAATCTGGAGTGCCAGAGTGCGCTCAGAGTGCGCTCTGGGCGATCTTAAATCCAGAGCATTGTCAGATTGTCCGTAAATTCATTGTTTCGCACTCGGAGCGTTCAGAACGCACACTGACGCTCTGGCTGAGGAGTAGGGTTGATCTGAGCATTCTGACCTCACAATGGCAGTCAAGCACCCAAGCTAACGTTAGCTAGCTTGCTAGCTACTTCCCGACACAAATGAGAGAACACCTCACTCTGACCATTTTACTCGCCCTAGCAGAGCTGGTTAGGCTGTTTTCATGTTATCCATAACGTTGGTGACTAACTGTGCTGCTGGCAACAATTTAATTACGCTTTTCTTTGCCGACGTTTACTGACACCGGCCATATTCAACGGGTGTTGAGCGTTCGTAAATTCATTAATTATTCTGCGCTCTGGCACACTCACCCGAGAGTGCTCTTAAATTGAAGTAGGCGGAATTAACAAAGTCCATTGAGAACGCAAAACGACTATACCACTTAGCTAAGGATGACGTGAAAAATCAAATCAACATTGGGTAGTTTGTTAGATAGCATATAGTTAATATACTGCCTGGCAAGTTCGATTTATTAGTAGCCAACTAACGTTAGGTAAATAACGTTAGCTAACATACTGTTGTAATGCTATGCGGTTTGTAAGGATAGCGTAGCTAACAAATTGTCGGGCAACATAACGTGTAATGTAACTTATTTGAAAAGTCATCACATTGCACAACATTTTCTTAACATTTGTCTTAATTAGGTAAAGCAATTAATTTGTATCCGCACTCGTTGTATTTCGGCTGCATATTTTCCGCCATTTTCTTCAAATTTGAAAACGTTTTGAAGCCACGCTCATTTTCTGAAGAATTGCATTATGGGCCCTAAAAAGCACTGAAATAGTGTCCACTGCTTGTATACTTCGTATTTTGGCAAATTTAGTACGACATCCAGGAACTTTTGGCATACTATGACCAATAAGCATACTACATACTCAATTTACGTCACAAATAGTCAGGTTAGTATGAGTATTCAAACACAGCTTATGCTCAAGACTTTCAGCTGGCAGGCAGACACAGGAATACGTTTCTGAGTGACAAAGTAAGGGCTTTGCATAGGCGCTTTTTGTGGGACTGGAAAAAAACTCCTGCAATGGAAAATAACGTTATTAACCAGATCCCATGCTTTTCAAATAAGTTATGTTCTGGGACAGTATAGATCACCTTTGTTCCCAGTTCTGATTCTGTTCCTCCAAAAAACATTTCATTTACAAGGCGAAATAAAGTCTTGCTTCAAGAAGCTTAGAGGCTAAATTGAAAGCCCTCAGAAGTCCTGGTCGACCAGTATTGTCTCCGCCTGTGTCTGCAGGAGAGGTTATTATGGCTGGGTTGGCAGCCAGGTGCAGTAGCGAGAAAGACAAGACGAGAAGACGAGAAAGGCAGGCAAGCGAACAAAGGAAGAGAGGAAGGCTGTTGGGATAATGTTGTTTTTGATGTCAACTCAACTGCGCGGTCATCACTACACCTGGAGCTGACAGCGCATAATAAAGCACATCTCTCTTGCTCTTCTTCTCTGCCTTCTGTTCTTTCTATACCTCCATCTTGTCTTTGTCCATTCCTTCTCTGCCTTATTTCTGTCTTGCTCACTCTTCTCCCCCCCCCCCCCCCCCCACCCCTCTCTCTCTCTCTCCCCCTTTCTGACTATGTGGTCTCTGTTTGATGGTAGAGGATGAGTGTCTTGTGTAGCCGGCCTCTCTTTGATTCCTGCTAATGACGGACTGAAGGCCCAAACCTCCCCAGCCGATGTCTAGCCTGTCCAGCACCACTCCAATTAGTAGATCTCCCCCCTCCCAATATGTGTGTGTACCCCTCTCATTCGTACTCCAGGAAATGATCCAGCCTTGTCTTTGTGGTGAACTTGCCAACAGTCTGCTCAGTGTGAAAATTACATTGTGTAAATGCAGATGAATGCAGACACACATGCCGATGTCACCACCAGGTGCAAGCGTCTACTGTGTGAGTGAAAACATATTGGCATGAGCTGTGGGTATTTTCATTGTGAATGTGCAGAGTGTGTGTGAGCTAGTTAGTGGGTGAAAACATATTGGTGTGGGTACTTTCATTGTGAATGTGCGGAGCGTGTGTGAGCTAGTTAGTTTATCAGCAGTCTGGCGTGGCTGTTTAGGGAATATGTGGGCGAGCAGTGAGGCAGAGGAGAGCTATTTAAATGTGCTTGATGTCCATCTGCAGCAGCCAGGTGTTGATTACAGGAGAGAGAATCATTACTATACAGTCCATGACTCACTGACAAACTTACAGAAGGACATACGGATAGAGAGATGACTCACTGTCAGAACTAAAGACACTGACAGACAAAAAGAGGGCCATTATCATACGTGACTCACTGATGGACAGACTGACAGACTGAGGGAGACGACAAACAACCTCTTTCTCTAGAGTTTGCTCACTACCAGACCCACATGGGTTCAAATATTATTTGTTTTCTTTCAAATATTTCAGCAGCGCCTGATTGAGCTGGCCTGGTGCAATGGAACAAAGCCAATAGTCCTAAAAGTGCAAGATCCTACACTGAAAACAGACCTACCAGTGAGACACGACAAGCCTTCATCCTGAACATCCCAACAATCCAACACTGTCTCATTGCAGCTCTTACACTAGTGTGAACACAACTTAAAGCTTAAAGGGAACTCCAGGATTAGTCTACTGCTTGGCAAATCCTGTCTATGGATGTTTTCTTCTTTGCCAGTGATTTAGGATCCCCCTCTGCCACCAAGCAAGTGGTTGGATTAGCATACTTCTATATTTGTGGTGTATTAATCTGGTAAGTAAGTAGCCTTAGTTGAGTACTTGAGCAGCCATTGATTCAGTGGATCAGAGTTATCTTGGGGAGACGATGAGGAGACAGCCAATTCCTCTGAGATAAATAAACCAGTCTCCTCTCACACTCTGGGCCCCACTGGAGCTGGAGATGGAGGGGGAGATGATTGAGAGAACTTTGGAGAGAGGGATGAGAGAGAATTAGCCTTTAGAATTGAAAGTAGATATCTTTTTGGGGTTCTCGTCAAGGAGAGGGAGGGAGGGAGGGAGAGCAATAGGAGAGATGGACAGTGAAAAGACAATCAACACCACAGAGCAAAATTCGTATGAATGGAGTGAATAGTAAAAGGGAAGATGAGAGCGGGATGAAGATGAGTACAGAGGAGATGGATAGATAGGACTCAGATGGCAGAGAATGATGGGATTAGGAATCAAGAACCAGAGAGATGACCCAGCCCAGGCGTTCCATCATGGCTGGCTGATGACCCATGATGCCGTGGGGTGGCATTAACAATTCAACACTCACTGGTTGACATTTAATTTAGCTGTCATAATTTTTTTGGGGGCAGATATTACCAGCAGAGAAACCATCCATGGTGGGTAGAGGAGTTTTTCCCCTTCCTTTAATAAATTGAATAATATAACTTTCCATCTCACAGTTGGTTCCTTCCTGGTGCTCTGCTTGCATTATTAACACAGTGGAAGGCAGGAGGAGGTGGTGAAGGGAGAAATATGCATGGGTCAGTCTGAAAACGAGACCTCTTGACTTTTTCACATTTTGTTACATTACAGCCTTATTCTAAAATGGATTAAATAAAACAATTTCCTCAGCAATCTACACACAATACCCCATAACGACCCATGGGGCGGCGCACAATTGGCCCAGCGTCGTCCAGGGTAGGGGAGGGAATGGCCGGCAGGGATGTAGCTCAGTTGGTAGAGGATGGCGTTTGCAACGCCAGGGTTGTGGGTTCGATTCCCACGGGGGGCCAGTATGAAAAATTAAATAATGTATGCGCTCACTAACTGTAAGTCGCTCTGGATAAGAGCGTCTGCTAAATGACTAAAATGTAAATGTAAAATGTACAAAGCGAAAACAGGTTTTAAGAAATGTTTGCAAATGTATTAAAAACAGAAATACTTTATTTACATAATTATTCAGACCCTTTGCTATGAGACTCGAAATTGAGCTCCGGTGCATCCTGTTTCCATTGATCATTCTTGATGTTTCTACAACTTGATTGGAGTCCACCTGTGGTAAATTCAATTGATTGGACATGATTTGGAAAGGCGCACACCTGTCTATATAAGTTCCCACAGTTGACAGTGCATGTCAGAGCAAAACCCAAGCCATGAGGTTGAAGGAATTGTCCATAGAGCTCTGACACAGTATTGTGTCGAGGCACAGATCTGGGGAATGGTAGCAAAACTTTATTGCAGCATTGAAGGTCCCCAAGAACACAGTGGCCTCCGTCATTCTTAAATGGAAGAAGTTTGGAGCCACCAAGACTTTTCCTAGAGCTGGCCACCCGGCCAAACTGAGCAATTGGTGGAGAAGGGCCTTGGTCAGGGAGGTGACCAAGAACCCGATGGTCACTCTGACAGAGCTCTAGAGTTCCTCTAGAACATTCCAGAAGGACAACCATCTCTGCAGCACTCCACCAAATAGGCCTTTATGGTAGAGTGGCCAGACGGAAGCCACTCATCAGTTTGCCAAAAGACACCTAAAGAATCTCAGACCATGAGAAACAAGATTCTCTGGCACCATCCCTACGGTGAAGTGGGGATGTTTTTCAGCGGCAGGGACTGGGAGACTTGTTAGGATCGAGGCAAAGATGAACGGAGCAAAGTACAGAAAGCTCCTTGATGAAAACCTGCTCCAGAGCGCTCAGGTTCACCTTCCAACAGGACAACAACCCTAAGCACACAGCCAAGACAACGCAGGAGTGGTTTCGGGACAAGTCTCTGAATGTCCTTGAGTGGCCCAGCCAGAGCCCGGACTTGAACCCGATCGAACATCTCTAGAGAGACCTGAAAATAGCTGTGCAGCGACGCTCCCCATCCAACCCGACAGAGCTTGAGAGGATCTGCAGAGAAGAATGGGATAAACTCCCCAAATACAGGTGTGCCAAGCTTGTGTCGTCATACCCAATAATACTTGAGGCTGTAATCGCTGCCAAAGGTGCTTCAACAAAGTACTGAGTAAAGGTTCTGAATACTTATGTAAATGTGATATTTCAGTTTTTTTGTGTGCTTAAAAGAAAATAAATATTTTAGCGTTGTCATAATGGGATATTTTGTATATACAGTGCCTTCAGAAAGTATTCACACCCCTTTACTTTCTACACATTGTGTTGTTACAGCATGCATTTAAAATAATTGAAATTGTGTCACTAATCTATACACAATACCCCATAATGTGGAATTCTGTCAGTACATTGTTTTTCAATAATTAATCAAAATGTCAAAGCTGAAATGTCTTGTCAATAAGTATTCAACCCGTTTTGTTATGGCAAGCCTAAATAAGTTCAGGAGTAAAAATGTGCTTAACAAATTGCATAATAAGTTGCATGGACTCATTCTGTGTTTAATAATAGTGGTTAACATGATTTTTGAATGACTACCCCATCTCTGTACCCCACACATACAATTATCTATAAAGGTCCCTCAATCAAGTAGTGAATTTCAAGCACAGATTCAACCACAAAGACCAGGGAGGTTTTCCAATGCCTCGCAAAGAAGGGCACCGATTGGTAGTTGTGTTAAAATAAAAAAAGCAGACACTTAATATCCCTTTGAGCATGGTGAAGTTATTAATTACATTTTGGATGGTGTATCAATAGACCCAGTCATTTAAAAAGATTCAGGTGTCCTTCCTAACTCAGTTGCCGGAGAGGAAGGAAACTGCTCAGGGATTTTATCATGAGACCAATGGTGATTTTAAAACAGTTTAATGGTTGTGATAGGAGATAACTGAGGATGGATAAACAACATTGTAGTTACTCCACGATACTAATAATATAAATACAAATATTCCAAAACATGCATCCCGTTTGCAACAAGGCACTTTAAGTAATACTACAAAAAGATGTGGCTGAGAAATTAACTTTTTGTCCTGAATACAAAGCGTTATGTTTGGGGCAAACCAACACAACACATCACTGAGTACCACTCTTCATATTTTTAAGCATGGTGGAGCTGCATCATGTTATGGGTATTGTCATCGGCAACGATTAGGGAGTGTTTTTAGGATAAAAATAAAAGGTATACAGCTATAAGCACAGGCAGAATCATAGAGGAAAACCTTGTTCAGTCTGCTTTCGAACAGACACTGGAGACGGCTTCACCTTTTCAGCAGGACAATAACCTAAAACACAAGGCCACATCTACACTGGAGTTGCTTACTAAGACGACGTTGAATGTTCTTTAGTGGCCTAGTTACAGTTTTGACTTAAATCGGCTTGAAAATCTATTGCAACGTTTGAAAATCGCTGTCTAGCAATGATCAACAATCAACTTGACAGAGCTTGAAGAATGTTTTAAAAGAATAATGGGCAAATATTTTTCAATCCATCGCCGCTAAAGCTGCTTCTACAAAGTATTGACTCAGGTGTGTGAATACTTATGTAAATGTAATATTTCTGTATTTCATTTTCAATAAATAAAAACATGTTTTCACTTTGTCATTATGGGGTATTGTGTGTAGATGGGTGAGAATTTTTTTTTTTGAATTCAGGCTGTAACAACAAAACGTGGACTAACTCAAGGGGTATGAATACTTTCTGAAGGCACTGTACCTCTTCTGTGTATGCTAAGCTTGAAAATCTGAAGGAAGTGTATAGGTAGCTTTTATGGTGGAAGTGCACTAAATCACCTCAACCTCCCTGATTGGTCGACTGGGTTACTGATTACAGCCAACTGATTACCAGGACCTCTCTGATTGGTTCGCTTGTTAACCGATGAGACCCCCTGATCAGCATAGACTTTGATTGGGGCTGAGCTCTTTACTGAGTATAACTGTGGCTTCTTTGAATGGCTTCAGCTTGTCCTTGGCATTGTTTTTTTCATATGCCTGATGAGCTCTTCTACATAAGTGCCTTCTTCATTTAAAGTGGAGCTCTCCTAGTCTTGGCTACACCGAGTCAGGAACAGTCAGTAAAGTTTGTGTTCAGTGCGTGGGAACAATAACCTGACTTAGGAAGAGGAGCTGCTAATCAGCATAAGAATTATACTGTGCGTTAAGAATAAAAATGTGTTTGCCCTGAATGTCACCTCTCCAAACCCACCTCTCTATCTCTCTCTGGGCTGATGAAGGACTACGCTAGCGGAGGGTGGAGGTGTGGGGCTCCTGGGCTGTTGTCTTGCTGGCTTATTCAGCTGCAGCAGTTAGTTATAATTATAATTATATAATAATTAGTCATTTAGCAGACGCTCTTATCCAGAGAGTTCCCTAGGTAGATATGGTTTTTTTCATCTCACTGCCCTAGGACTGTTCTAGTGCTCATCACAGTTTCACTTCCCTCATCTCTCTCTTTAGCTCACATTCTTCTACTTCCTCTGCTGATATTTTGCCCTCTATCCCCCCCCCTTTCTAATTGGTGTACTCCCTCTTTCTCTTTACTGTCCTCTGTTTCTCACAATCTGTATTTCCTAATGCAGAGAGAAATTGCTGAGTATGCCTCTCAGTTTGGAGTCCGTAGGGAGACCAGAACTCCCTGTGCATTCACCCACCACAGCCCACAACCCTCTGAACCACAGGTTTGAACCTACCTCGCTCTCACAACCTTTCTCTGTTTTCATTACGAAAGGTTCGCTTAGGCTTATTACCTCCCTTATCATTCCACCTGGGTCCTCTACATCGCCATCCCCCTCACTCATCTTATTCCTGTAACACCTGCAAACCTACAAGATGAATTCTCTCATAAACACGTTTTACACTACCACCGGTTTGTCCCATGTCCCACACCGTCCATCCTCACCACCGTAAGACGCACAAACGTCCAACCTACAATGTGTGTCTCGATCTCGAGCACGCTCACGCTTCTTCCGGTATCAGCCATATTGCTCCAGCGTGGCTGGATTTACGTTTGCTTACTGCTTGTGTGTGCTGGTGGGTCTGGGTGGTTGCCATGGAGACCCGGCGTTGCAGTGCTCTGCAGTACATATATACACACACACACACTCATCACAGTCTAAAAATAGAGGGCTGGGCAGGGAGGCTCTGAATGGCCTCGTTCTCTGCATATTGGTTATTAGACTATGAGAAACTGTGAGACCTGAAGACAGTCTGAGCTAATGCCTAGGCTTTAGCTCAGCGGACTAACACTGTCTTCAGGGACATGGGTTCGAACCCCAGTCTGTCACATATGTACTATATAACTCACACTTTCCCCCATAGGCACATAGCCTAACTCATCCTCTCCCTGTAGTCCTGCTCATCATCAGTGATAGTCTCTCTCCTCTCCGCCGTAGCTGTGGTGGATCTCCCTCTTGCCCCCCCAAACCCAGCTAGGAGGTGCCAGACGCTCCTATCACCAGGAGGTGTCTAAAAACGGTCTGTGGAGGTGTGAATGCAGCACACACGCTGGTTAATTACATATATCTTGTGCTATCTGTCCCTTCTCTTTGTCTCTCAAACCCAAAACATGCTTTCCAGTCTGTCTCTGTGTGTGTTTCCCAAACCCAAAAGGGCTTTCCAGGCAGTGGAAATCATAACAAATGTAGAGAGGGAGGTGTGTGGGTCTGGTTAATGCTGGAAAATATTATTTCTGTATCGTTAGCGAGGAAATGTAAATTGATGAGCTCCTTATTTCATTTGTCGTCGGGTCTCATCGTGGTGGTTGACGTGCGATGAGCAGTAATGAGGGGGGAATGGGCTTTATGGAGCACTGGGCTTCTTAGGAAGGAAAGGGGGGAATGCAGTCTAGTGCTGCCTGGAAGAGGGGTGGTTTATGTGACATGGTGTCAGTAGAAGCCTGGAAGGGTGGTCTTTAGGAGAAGTGGCAGGGTAGTCACTGGTGGGGTAGAATTGATTTGCCATTTTATTTAGGTCTTCTTTAGGTTAGTGGCTCATTGTGAGTTTCCAAGAAATGTGTTACGGTCTTGGTTTATGGTTTTGGTTTATAGGTGTAGTTACTTTAGCATTGTAACTGTTTTCCCACCCCCTCCTGCAGGCTGAACTTCAAGGAGCCAGAGGCGGTGCGAGCCCTGACCTGTACCCTGCTGAAGGACGACTTTGGACTGACCATAGACATCCCTCTGGAGCGTCTCATCCCCACTGTGCCTCTCAGACTCAACTACATCCACTGGGTGGAGGACCTGATCGGAGGCCAGGGGGAACCACGCAGGGGCATCGACATTGGTAGAGTTATGACCTCCAATAACCACTACTAAATATAGCCCCTCTCTTCCTATCCTATTCTCTCTCCCTTGATCTCCTTGAAATTAACCCAAATGAACCATCCATCTTGGTTCAATCATAATTGCTAGGATGCCTCTTTACCACAACTCCAATCCTATGTCATGTTTCTGTAGAGGAATATATGGCTTTTATATGGCCTGTCCCTTTACTCCCTCCACTGGTTCTTAGTTGTTACATCAGACAGTTGATTTCTCACCTGTCTATATAGAGCACAATTATCCTCAATGCTGAATGGGATGAAATAACTCCCATTAATTCCCATACAAACATCACATCAGGAATGGAGAGTGATCAAGGTATTTATGTGTTATCATGTTTGTTTGCTCAAGGTATATTCCTCCAGCAGTAACCTTTCTGGGTATGACTCATTGCTGCGTCCCAAATAGCACCCTATTCCCTACATAGTGCATTACTTTTGACCAAAGCCCAATGGGCCCTGGTCAAAAGTAGTGTGCTATATAGGGAATAGGGTTCCATTAGGGAAACAACCTATAAGGGCGGCTGTCTGACAATGCACATTACAGGCTGGCAGAGAGGGGCTGCCTGGCACAGGTCTAGCCCAAGACACATGTTCGAAGTCTTAGAGTAGTGCTGATATAGGATCAGTTTTGCCTTTGAAATCATAATGAATACGATTTTAATTACAGGGGGGACCTGATCCTAGATCCGCACTCCTGCTGACTCTTACTAGTCCCAGAGCAGCTGGCTGCTAGTGGGCATCACAGACTGGCAGGGATACTGGCAGAGAGGGGCTGCATGATGGCTGCACTCCACCTTCAGATCCCACATGTACTGTAGGCCCATCTATTTCCTGTGGACCACTGGAGATCACTGGCCAAATCCCCATCCACATGTGATGGCTGGTTTCCTGCTCTATCAGAGAGTGTGATGTGTGTGCACATGTGTCAGTTTAGCTCCTTAGTGAGACGAACAGGTCAGTGATTGGTGACCCTGGTGCCTGGTCCATTCTGTAAGCTGATTGGAGATGTCACTCTCCTGATGGATAGCCACAGGGCATTACTCTCCCAAGCCTTGACCTGCCGGGTGCCATCTCACCCATCGCTACTGCCCCAGGGGACCTCACTGTGGTCGGTTAGATTGGAGGCCCTGGTCTCTGTTAGGCCTGAATGATCTGATCATGTTTGTCTGGATCACCTCTTATTAATCCATTATGGACACGCACTCAGACACACACCCTGTCTCTCACGTAGTGTGTTATATCCCCAGGTACTGGAGCATCCTGTATCTACCCCCTGCTGGGAGCCTCTATGAATGGCTGGCATTACCTGGCGACTGAGGTAGATGACATCTGCTTTGACTACGCCACCAGGAACGTAGAGCAGAACAACCTCTCAGACCTCATCAAAGGTGAACTGTTTCACTATGTAGTGCTCTGAGAGGCTATAACTTGTTATAGTTTATAGACACCAGGAACGTAGAGCAGAACAACCTCTGACCTCAAAGGTCAGTGGCAAGTTGTCCATTGGTAGTCGCATTGTAATGTACTACTGAAAGGAAGATGGCTTGAAACCTTGTTGATAATGTGTCCTTGTCCTGTCTCATGTCCCAGTGGTGAAAGTTCCCCAGAAGACCCTGTTAATGGACGCTTTAAAAGAGGAGTCAGCCATCGTCTATGACTTCTGCATGTGTAACCCTCCCTTCTTCGCCAACCAACTAGAGGCTAAGGTAGGCCTCTTTCGATGTAAAGTGTTTTGAGTATCTGAAAAAACAGCTTTATAAATCTCATTTATTCACTGGTTGTTTTTTCTCTCATTTATCTTCTCTTCCTTTCTTTTCCTGTCACTTTATTCCTGTTACCCTTTACTTTTTCTCCCCATGCCCCTCTGTTTTCCCCCTCCCTCTCCTCCCCCCTCCCTTTCCATCCTCCTCTCCCCAGGGGGTAAATTCCAGGAACTCTCGTCGTCCTCCCCCCAGCTCAGTGAATACAGGTGGTGTGACAGAGATCATGGCTGAGGGCGGAGAGCTGGAGTTTGTCAAGAGGATCATCCATGACAGCCTGCAGCTCAAGACACGCCTGCGGTGAGAGACACACGCAGCACGCAGCACGCAGCACGCAGCACGCACACACAAACACCACATATTGGTCCACATCAATACACTGAGCCTTCACAGAAGGAAGTGTTCAAAATCGCATCATGCTGGATTCAGATTGCTCATGCTTTATGAATGCGCCACTTTCCTAAACCCCAAATATAATATAGAAAAGCCTGATGGTTATCAGTTGGCGTTGTTAGGTGTTTGTTCATTACCGTCTGTTACAAATGCACCCTTTCATTTAGGATGAGAGGAAAGGTAAGGGATTGAGGGATGAGAGGGGACCACTGATGGAGGAGAGCAGGGCCAGGAGCAGGGCCAGATGGGGTGCAGGGATGGAGCTGTCACCCAGAGTTTGTTTAATGAATTGGCATTAGGGGTAAACAGTCACCCACCCCCTGGCAGTATCCGCACGCCCGCAGGGAACAGCTGTGTGTGTGGGGCGTACAGATCCCCCTCCACACACACCACTACTCTCCACCTCCACAATTACAAGGCTTGTCAGTGGTGCAGTGGAGTGAGACACGGATGGAGGGAGGGAGGGAGGGAGGAGAGGGAAAGAGAGCGAGAGAGAAAGGGGGAGAGAGAGAGGGGGATAGGCACTATTAGAGTTGATCAGACCGCACGCATGCATGGTGACTGGGAGACAAGTGGCTGACATGGAAGGTGTGTGTGTGTGTTGAACTGTGTGTGTCACTACATACTTTTGTGTGGAGAGATGATTGTCAACCACAAGAGAGTGTGAGTGCGTCGGTGTGCTCATATGTTTCAGTGGAAAGCTGAGTGGCCCTCACAGGGGGAAAAGTGTCTGTCTCCCTCTGTCTGTTTGCCTGGCTGTGCATGTGTCTGTGTGTTAACTCTTGTGTGGTGCGCTTGGCTTGTGTAGAGATCATAGATGAGTGTCTGCCACAGGGGAAGGCGTGCCCGCCCTAGTCTCCCTCTCTTCCGCTTCTGTTCCTTCCTGTCCTCCCTCTCTCCTGTAGTGTGTGTGTGTAGTGTGTTTGGGGCCGGGGCCAAGGCAGCAGTAGCAGGATGTCACTCCACACACTGCATGCTGGGACAGCAGAGCTACCGCCAGGTGTCCACGGAAACCAAGCCAGCCCCTCTGATTGATCCTCTGAGACCCACCATTCCCTCTCCAACCCCCCCCCCCCCCCCCCCCTTCTCTTCAACAACACTGAGCTGTAATTACTCTCACCAGACTATCACACACAGATACACACACACACACACGCACAGTCGCACACCCCAACCACCAGCCAGGAAAAGGAGCTGATTCCCCTGATTCCCCCTTATCAAGGTGATGCCCTCTGCTAATCGTTGTCTGTTATTGATATGATAATCACTATCTTTGTGGAGGGGGTAATAACATTGTAATCACCAGTCTTTTTGCTCTTGGAGGGGTTTGCTTGAAAAGAAATGAATGACTGCCAAGAATCTGAATGCTTCTGTCTGACCCCCTATGAGAGATTTGTTTTTTGGGGAGGGAAGGTCTTGCTGGAGGAAGGAAGTGAGGAAGCTGTCGCGTGTGTGTGTGTGTGTGTGTGTGTGTGTGTTAACATGAATGCTCAGCAGCCTCCTCGCTGCATGACAAAGTGGGGGACATCTGGGGATATTAGAGGTCCTCAATATTTCATGGTGCCACTTGAGGCGAGGCCTTTGCGCCCCCAACCCTACCCAAAACCCTCTCACCCCCACCACTCCCACCCTTACCCCTAACCCCATTCTGCAGGCGCTTCTCTGAGTAGGCTCTTCCCCAATCTTTCAAGGCTTTTAGTGAATGCCATCAAGCTCATCTGGCATTTTTTGTTAAATATCTAGCCAGATTGGTTTTTGTGTTGTGTGTTGCCCTCAAACACAGTGTACACTTTGTAGTGGGCTTGTTTCCTGTGCCAGTTCCCAAACCTTTCAGTGCTTTCAATGAATGTCATTGAGATCACCTACATTCTTATTTTATTTAATTAAACATTTATTCAAAACCTTTTTCAAATCTGGTTGGCTGTAGTAGTCTATGTGCTGTGTAAAGGTCCTGGGTTTCCTCTCCCCTTTTAACCCTTTAGACTTGTGGGAATTGGCCTATATGGATAGGGCTACATTGAAATGTTTCTTACAGAAGAAATATGAAAAGAATATGCATAACCATGGTAGCAATTGATTGGGAACAGTTTGGAGATAATAGGACAATTATTAGGCAAAAAGTGAGTACACAACAGTTCACCTGACACAAGACTGAATCCAAACATTACACTGTTGATTTTATGTGCATTTTACATTTACTGTACTTTTTGCCACATTTGTTGATAACAAAATATTAAACATTGAGTAACATGCTAACAATATTCCTGGTAAATGTGGGGTAGGTGCAACATAAGACAAAACAATGATAAGGGTTTGAGTGAGAGAACTAACTGGTGTCTCCAAGTGGCCAACCACCTCTCCAAGTGTGCACAGTTCCTAAGCAATTTTAATGCACTTTTATGACTCAGAGTCTTCAACTATAAGGTACTTTTTTAAGCTCTTCTAGCTGTGCCATTGAGGAACTAGAGCAAGCACACTTGTAGTAGTTTTGTTTGGAACACAACCCTGCAACTCCGCCATCACACAATTACTGTTGTTCCAAAAACATTCCATTATAAATCACAATCTGGGTCAGATGGTTCTAAAAGCATTTGAAAGCTTGTTGTATTGCCAACATGACTAGCTAAGTTATAAAATATGATCTTAGTGTTACATTTTGATAAAAATTACAGACCTCTACATGCTTTGTAAGTAGGAAAACCTGCAAAATCGGCAGTGTATCAAATACTTGTTCTCCCCACTGTATATAGTATCTAGGCCTAATTAATCTAGACATGAGGGCAACCCAATCAGACGAGGTTTGTCATACATTGTTTAGTTTGTTTTCCTATCCAGATTGACTCCCTGCTAGGTTTGTCCCAGTCTATTTCTCCCTGCTAGATAGTACTGAGGCTCTATATGCTGTTGTATTGATTACCAGAGACTCATCTCTTCATTGCAGAGGAGAGATATTGATCTGCTCTCCTGCTCAGGCCCCAGACATCAAAGCTCTGTTACTCCATAGACTCATACTGTCCCTGTTGTTGTTCTAGCCCTGCCTCTCTCTTGCTTTCACAGTCATTAAAACTACAGCTGAAATCGTAGCTACCCACTCTGCCTCAGAACTACAAAAACAGAAAGGCAGTTAGGATCTTTTTCCAACAGTCATGGAGGGAAGCTAGAGGGATATCCAATATCTGCAGCTTGTTTGATCTCAGACAGGGGTTCATGCCCAGGTCGCTGGACACACACTCCTAAGATTATTTTTCTTCCAGGTGGTACAGTTGCATGCTGGGAAAGAAGTGCAGCCTGGCACCTTTGAAGGAGGAGCTGAGAAAACAAGGGGTGAGTGCACACACACACACACATTCGTGCACGCACGCTCACACACAGACACATTCGTGCACGCACGCTCACACACAGACACTTGGATATATTTGAGACACTCGTCAGAATGGGAGCTCCGACGATACGACATTTGATGCTCATACATAGTCTTATACACACAGCACTCGCAAACAGTTACAACACACAGATGCACTGTACATTTACATTTTAGTCATTTAGCAGACGCTCTTATCCAGAGCGACTTACAGTTAGTGAGTGCATACATTTTCATACTGCCATGTACCAAACCCAGGCATGCGTTAACATACCCGGATGCCCCATATATACCCAATGACAAGGTGAGGTAATGGAGTGTTGAATGAGCTCCCTCCAACCATCTAAAACCTCCTCTGAGATGGAAGAAGGGGATCAGATACCTTCGGAACCGTAACGGATCAAGCCTGGCTAATACGCTGGCTAAGCAATGTCACAGCCCAGACCTGATTGAGCTGATTTCTATTAGCGTTGCGTGACTTTGAAACGCATGGCAGGGCCCACACACAAACATACATATTACACACACACACACACACGTACGCATACATACACAGACATGTATGTATGCACACACACACACACACGGTAGGTCAGCGCCGCTAACGTTCATTAGCGCCATTATCCTAGGTATTAGCCCCTAGCGCATGACTGCTAACTGACTGACTATCTGTCTATAGAGGTTAGTCTCCAGCCCTGTGCCGCTGTGCCAGTCGCTTACCTATGAAATTATGAGACCCATTCACTGGGGATGGCTGGCACAAGAATGGCATCGCAGCAGCTCCCAAGGGTGTTAACCATACACACACACACACACACCATGTCAATCACTGGGGGAGGACCATCCCAGAATCCTCCTCCAGAGGTGTCAGAGGGCTGTTGCTGCGTGTCACTGCTCATTAGTGGGAGTGCATCCTTGGCCAACATCCAGCGCAGGCAAGAGGGTGGGGGCGTAATAGGAGACCTAATGAATATGCTAATGCTGTTTGCGCCCTCTATCTCTCTTTCTCGCTTTTCTCTATCTTCCTCGTTCTTTCTCGCTGCTTGGTTAATTTGGTGAGTGTTTAGGGGTCAACATGGAGCGATGCTCTCATAGAGCGATGCATCTTCTTGCCGCTGAGATCCATTTCCCTGACCTTTGACCTGTATCTCTGGGGCACATTCCCCACTGAAACCCACCACATATTGATTGTGAGTGTGTGTAGGGAGGTGGTATCAAGTGGATAGTGAATACTATTCAAGAGACTTACACTGATCTTTTCCCCCACGTCTTCTCACGAGTGCTCAGCTCTGGCACTGTAAGCACTGTGTGTGTGAAAGTGTCCTGTATTGCTAACGCTTGTTGGTGTTGTCTGCTCTATTAGCGTTGTCTAATGTTCTCTGTATCGGTCTGTTTCCATTCCCAGGTGCCCAAAGTGACCCACACAGAGTTCTGCCAGGGACGGACCATGCGCTGGGCACTGGCCTGGAGTTTCTATGATGACGTTACTGTTCCGGTAAGCTCCCTTGGGTCCTCTCCCAACCAGTTCATCTACAGTGGAAGAGGAGGAAGGCATAAGCATGGCATCACCTCTCTCTCTCGTGCTTTCTCTCGTTCTCTCTCTCTCGTTCTTTCTCTCTCTCTCGCGTGCTTTCTCTCTCTCGCGTGCTTTCTCTCTCTCGCGTGCTTTCTCTCTCTCGCGTTCTTTCTCTCTCGTTCTTTCTCTCTCTCGTGCTTTCTCTCTTTCTGTCGTTCTTTCTCTCTCTCTCTCCCCTTCTTCTCCCTCCCTCATTCCCAGTCATCCAGGGGCATGTCCTAACTATACCCCTGCTGCTTTTCCAGACGTTCCCAACCTCCCCACACTTCCTTAATAATGCATTTGCGGCCCATCCCACTCCACTCCCCAGCCCATTTCATTAGGGAACGCAGGCAGCACTCAACCCACCCTGGGGAGATGCTTGCGTCCCTCCCCTAATTTGCTGTATCCAGGCAACAGTTGCCGGGGCAGGAGTGTGCGCACATGCACGCCATGCCATTAGGCTCTTGGGCCACTGAGGGTGTGATAGAATGAGAGGGGGAGAGAGAAGAGTGAGCAAAGCGCACCATAGAGATCAATGTGAGAGTGTGAAAGCTGGAAATATTAGGCATAAGAGCGAGAATAAAAAGGGAGCTAGAGGGGCGTGGGGGTGGAACGTGGAGTGTTACAGTATATGAAGGACTTATTTGGTCTCAGTAGAATTTGTGTAGTCTCGTTTGCCTTTCACCACAAAGGCAGTTGAGCAGAAAGATTGGCCTACATTTTACTGCCCTCTCCTCCTCTCTCCTCTCTTTACACAGTGGAGCACTGCGTCATTACCAGGCAGACTGGGGAGGAGTGTGTGGATGACCCCACACCTGTGTGTGTATGTCTGACTGATGTGTAATGCAGGAAGTGTCTCACCAGGCACATGGACATAATCTGATCCCTTCATTACAGAGGGAGGGGAGAGCTAGAAACAGACTGAGCACAATGGAGAGATGGGGCGGCAGGTAGCTTAGTGGTTAAGAGCGTTGTGCCAGTAACCGAAAGGTCGCTGGTTCTAATCCCCGAGCCGACTAGGTGAAAAATCTGTCGATGTGCCCTTGAGCAAGGCACTTAACCCTAATTGCTCCTGTAAGTCGCTCTGGATAAGAGCGTCTGCTAAATGACCAATTATAATTATAAAAGATGGGGAGAGAGAAGGTACAAAGACCATAAAAGGAGACTTGGAGAGAGAATTAGAGAGAACAAGAAATGAGAGAATCAGAGAGAGCGTTTAGTCATTTAGCAGACGCTCTTATCCAGAGCGACTTACAGTTAGAGTGCATACATTTTCATACTGTTTCATTCTGTTGTTGTTGTTGGTCTCTGTGTTCTCTGAGTGTCATGTGACACTGTGGGCCCAGAGCAGGGGGCGTGTCTGGTATGCAGCCAGTCAGGAGAAGATTTACAGTAGGGGGCGGGGTTAGGGAGGGGTCAGAGGTCAACAGGAACAAGAGGTTCTGGAGGCCCCACAGGGAGAGGAAAAGGGGGGATTGAGTGGGATTTGGTTAAATGGCCATCTCTCTTCTGCTGATCTGTCTGTGTGTGTGGTCAGTAATTGAATAATGGCCTATTACAGGGTTCTTCAATTCCGGTCCTGGAGGGCCGAAACACTTGTTTTTTATTTCTACCTGGTAGTTAATTGCACTCACCTGGTGTCCCAGGTCTGAATTAGCCCCTGATTAGAAGGAGAGGATGAAAATCAGAGGTGTTTCGGCCCTCCAGGACCGGAATTGAAGAACCCTGGCCTATTATCTAGGGAGCCATGCTGGGGCTCTGTTTGTTGAGCTGAGCTCCCAGGCTTGAGTCCTGGTTGGACAATTGGGGCAGACTGGCTGCTAGAGAGAGAGAAACACAGACAGTCTGGCTACACTAGACAACTAGAGCAAGGTGTGGTCAAAACAGAATACAGAAAGCTATCTTTCTCATGTGTGTGGACTGGGCACACATGAGTGTATGAGGAGGTGGGAGTGGGTGAGTCAGATTAATAATAGAGAGAAAGATTGAAAGGGAAAGGGAGGGAGAGAGAGAGGGTAAAAATGAATCAGACTAGATGAGGAGAGGTGTTCTTTCCTGTCTGTGCTTTTTGTGTATGTGCTTGTGGGTGTGTGTAAGTGTTTTTCTGTGTGTGCTTTTGTCTAGGAGTGTATGTTTATCTCTTTGTGTATGAATCTGTGTGTGTACGTGCATTTGAGTGTGTGTACTGCGTTACTGTGTGTGTATCTATGTCAAGGATGTGCTGTACAGACAGACTGGCTGCAATCCTTGATGGATTGTATTGATTTTTTTCCTCTTCCTTTGAGCTGCAGGGGCTTACTGAGCAGAGAGAGAAGGGCTGGGAAACAATAAGGAACACATGAAGCAGCTATAACAAGGCCTGGCTGGTATAGACTCACTAGACAGACCTTGGTTCAAATACTATTTGAAGTCTTTAGTTTGCTTTAGCTTTCCTGGAGTGCCAGATGGGCGGGGGGGCTAGTAGTTTTGCGATTGTTCTATTGGTTCCTTTGAGCCATGCAATCTTAAATCGAGCCCAAGTCCAGGTCTGAGTCTAGACACACTCAATTCTTTCTCTATTGACCAGTCTGATAACACATGTTTTCTATGGAAAGAGAATACTTGAATTAAACATGACTGTCTTCATTCAAGTATTTCATACAGTAAGTATACAACCACACAAATTACGTTATCTCACAGGATAACCGGTAACAGAGAACTTATCTAGGACCAGTCTGAAGGTCGAAGTCCAGTCCTCCATTCTGTGCAGGTTGGCCATATTGTCTGACTGATTGACTGACATGTCATTATTGCATTGTTTCACTGCAGACCCGATCTGGCAATCAGGTGCATTTAAATAGGATTTTATTGACCTATAGCACTGTTGTTTGTATAAGGTAGAGCCCTGTGGTATTATTATGTGGGGACTTGCTTAGAGAAGGAATGCTTCCACCATAGCAGCATGGCACCAGTGGCAGCTCCAAGACAAGGCACAGCAGGGCCAATGTCCATGCAGGGGCGTAGGACTAAATCACGTGGAAGGAGCTCCCCCTTGCGGTGTGTTTTGATATTGCCAACTCCATTTTGTTATTGGTGTGGTTCTTTGCCTTTACAATTCAATGTGATGACACTACGATGAGCTAAGAAGGAGGGTGGAGGGTGAAAAAGAGCAGAGTCATGGGGAGGGAAAGAGCGAGGGAGAGACTCATCTGGCCTAAACGGACAGGAGGAGTCATCACCGGTCCAGGAATCCAAGACTCTCTCTCCCTCTTCACTTCCTCTCGCTCTCCATCAATCCCCCTTTCACTCACTCATTGTCACATTCTTTCTTTCATTCACTCATTGTCACACGGAATGAGTGAGCTGAAGTATTTCGCTTCCTCTCTTCTCCTCCTCCCTCTTACCTCCATCTGTTTTTCTCTCCTCTCCTTCATCTAAACCCATCATTCCCCAGCCATCCAGAGGGGTTTCCATGGTGACTAGGACAGTGAGACTTTACCAGCTCACTTCTTTAGAAATTATTGTTGACTCAACGTCGTCAATGTCTAAGCTTGTATGTGTTTGTGCATGCTTTTGGGTCAGAGTGAACTTGAGTCAGTTTCTCTGTGAGGGTGTGTAGTGTACTACTTTTGTGTCAGGTCAGAGTGAACTTGAGTGCATCAGATATGTATGATGGCATGTGCAGTATGAGTGTGGAATGCCGTAGTGTGTAGAACTGGGACACACTTGTCTTTTAGCACCTTTAGGTTCACGAATGCTGTTCCAGTGAATTTGTTTGACTAACATGCTTGTCTGAACAACATACTGTACCTGTGAATGTGTAGGGATTTAGATTGTTCATTTGCCAGCAGTCTTACACACGTCATCATGAATCACCCTTTATTTATCTGGGCAGGTTGAGGATGGATTCAAATTTTCCAAATAAATGTTTTACATGCATTGAAGTATGTGACTACGTCTTCACCAGAAGTTTTTAATTGAATATTATGACAGTGGTACCTCTTTCGGTAAACCCCACATACTCTCTCTCCATCTCCCGCCCCTCAGTCTCCCCCCAGTAAGAAGAGGAAGCTGGAGAAGTCTCGTAAGCCACTGTCCTTCATGCTGCTGCAGCCCACAGTGAAGGAGCTGCAGTCCCAGGCCTCCTCTATAGGCTGTCCCTCCAACCCCAGGCCTGTAGAGACCATCACTGCCTGGCTGGAGAAGACACTCAGTGACCTAAAGGTAAACACACACAGGGTTTTTTCAGGATAAAAAACGGGCTTAGTTGGTGGGCGTGGTCAACCCAGGCCTGTGTGCAAGAATTTTAAAGGCACCCATCTTGGCAGGGGAGAGCAAATTTTGCTGTTTTTAAAGCTGATTTCCTGCAATTCTACACATTTTGCCATGGAGCTGAGAAAATGTTGCGGTTTAAAAATGAATTTCCTGCAATTCTACGCATTTTTCCATGGCTTATGCTGTGTTATTATTAGTGCTGAGCGATTACTGCTTTTTGAGGTCCGTTTCAGCTCGATTATTTTAAAAAAATCACTGTTTTCAATTTAGATTATAAAAAATAAAAAAAACATTACATGCACAATGCATTATGTGGGTTGAATGCTATAACACAGAATAAAACAATTAATAAAAGTCCCATGATGGTAGTGACTGCCCATTACTGCTTAATCAATTATTAACCATAATTTATTCACATTACTTTAATAAAATAGTTTTGTTCTTGTGTATACAGTGAGGGAAAAAAGTATTTGATCCCCTGCTGATTTTGTACGTTTGCCCACTGACAAAGAAATGATTAGTCTATAATTTTAATGGTAGGTTTATTTGAACAGTGAGAGACAGAATAACAACAAAAGAATCCAGAAAAACGCATGTCAAAAATGTTAAAAATTGATTTGCATTTTAATGAGGGAAATAAGTATTTGACCCCCTCTCAATCAGAAAGATTTCTGGCTCCCAGGTAACGAGCTGAGATTAGGAGCACACTCTTAAAGGGAGTGCTCCTAATCTCAGCTTGTTACCTGTACAAAAGACACCTGTCCACAGAAGCAATCAATCAATCAGATTCCAAACTCTCCACAATGGCCAAGACCATAGAGCTCTCCAAGAATGTCAGGGACAAGATTGTAGACCTACACAAGGCTGGAATGGGCTACAAGACCATCGCCAAGCAACTTGGTGAGAAGGTGACAACAGTTGGAGCGATTATTCGCAAATGGAAGAAACACAAAATAACTGTCAATCTCCCTCGGCCTGGGGCTCCATGCAAGATCTCACCTCGTGGAGTTGCAATGATCATGAGAACGCTGAGGAATCAGCCCAGAACTACACGGGAGGATCTTGTCAATGATCTCAAGGCAGCTGGGACCATAGTCACCAAGAAAACAATTGGTAACACACTACGCCGTGAAGGACTGAAATCCTGCAGCGCCCGCAAGGTCCTCCTGCTCAAGAAAGCACATATACAGGCCCGTCTGAAGTTTGCCAATTAACATCTGAATGATTCAGAGGAGAACTGGGTGAAAGTGTTGTGGTCAGATGAGACCAAAATCGAGCTCTTTGGCATCAACTCAACTCGCCATGTTTGGAGGAGGAGGATTGCTGCCTATGACCCCAAGAACACCATCCCCACCGTCAAAAATGGAGGTGGAAACATTATGCTTTGGGGGGGTTTTTCTGCTAAGGGGACAGGACAACTTCACCGCATCAAAGGGACGATGGACGGGGCCATGTACCGTCAAATCTTGGGTGAGAACCTCCTTCCCTCAGCCAGGGCATTGAAAATGGGTCGTGGATGAGTATTCCAGCATGACAATGACCCAAATCACATGGCCAAGGCAACAAAGGAGTGGCTCAAGAAGAAGCACATTAAGGTCCTGGAGTGGCCTAGCCAGTCTCCAGACCTTAATCCCATAGAAAATCTGTGGAGGGAGCTGAAGGTTCGAGTTGCCAAACGTCAGCCTCGAAAACCTTAATGACTTGGAGAAGATCTGCAAAGAGGAGTGGGACAAAATCCCTCCTGAGATGTGTGCAAACCTGGTGGCCAACTACAAGAAACGTCTGACCTCTGTGATTGCCAACAAGGGTTTTGCCACCAAGTACTAAGTAATGTTTTGCAGAGGGGTCAAATACTTATTTCCCTCATTAAAATGCAAATCAATTTATAAAAATTTTGACATACGTTTTTCTGAAATTTTTTGTTGTTATTCTGTCTCTCCCTGTTCAAATAAACCTACCATAAAAATTATAGACTGATCATTTCTTTGTCAGTGGGCAAACGTACAAAATCAGCAGGGGATCAAATACTTTTTTCCCTCACTGTACCTATAAAAAGTCTACACCCTGTTGAACTTTTTTTTCACATTTTGTTGCGTTACAAAGTGCGATTTAATACACTGTATATACAAAAGTATGTGGACACCCCTTCAAATTAGTGGATTCGGCTATTTCAGCCACACCCGTTGCTGACAGGTGTATAAAATTGAGCACACCGCCATGCAATCTCCATAGACAAACATTGGCAGTAGAATGGCCTTACTGAAAAGCTCAGTGATTTTGGTCTGGTGCGGTTTTTCATGGTTCGGGCTAGGCTCCTTAGTTCCAGTGAAGGGAAATCTTAATGCTACTGCATACAGTGACATTCTAGATGATTCGGTGCATCCAACTTTGTGGCAACAGTTTGGGGAAGGCCTTTTCCTGTTTCAGCATGACAATGCCCTATGCACAAAGCGAGGTCCATACAGAAATGGTTTGTCGAGATCTGTGTGGAAGAACTTGACTGGCCTGCACAGAGCCCTGACCTCGACTCCATCGAACACCTTTGGGATGAATTGGAACACCGACTGTGAGCCAGGCCTAATCGCCCAACATCAGTGCCCAACCTCACTACTGCTCTTGTGGCTGAATGGAAACAAGTCCCTGCAGCAATGTTCCAACATCTAGTGGAAAGCCTTCTTAGAAGAGTGGAGGCTGTTATAGCAGCATAGGGGGGACCAACTCCATATTAATGCCCATGATTTTGGAATTAGATGTTTGACGAGCAGGTGTCCACATACTTTTGGTCATGTAGTTTATTTAATTGTAATTTTTTGTCAACAAGCTACACAAAATACTCTGTCAAAGTGGAAGAAAAAGTATATATTGTTCAATATTTGCACAAAATTCTTAGTTCTATCAAGGTGTTGGATCATGGCTAGACACCATTTTCAAGACTTGCTATAGATTTTCAAGCAGATTTAAGTCAAAAGTGTAACTTGCCCACTCAGGAACATTCACTGTCTTCTTGATAAGCAACTCCAGTGTTTCCTCTAGTGCTTAGCTCCATCCCGTTTCTTTTCATCCTGGAAAACTCCCCAGTCTTTGCCTATGTCAAGCATACCCATACCATGATGCAGCCACCACCATGCTTGAAAACAAGGAGGCAGTTACTCACTGATCTGTTGTTGGATTTGCCCCAAACATAAGGCTTTGCATTTAGGCCAAAAGGTGTGTTTTTGCCGTATTACTTTAGTGTCTTTTGCACACATGTTTTGGAATATTTTGTATTCTTCTTTTCACTCTGTCATTTAGGTCATTATTGTGAAGTCACTACAATGTTGATCCATCCTCAGTTTTCTCCCATCACAGCCATTGAACTCTGTAGCTGTTTTAAAATCACCAATGGCCTCATGGTGACATCCCTAAGCAGTTTCCTTCCTGTCCTTCAGTTCAAAAGGACGACTGCATCTTTGATGTGTCTGGGTGGTTTAATACATCATCCATAGCATAATTATTAACTTGACCATTCTTAAAGAGCCTTTCAATGTCTTATTTGTTATTGTTACCCATCTACCAATCACTGGCTTTCGAAAAGCTCCCTGGTCTTTGTAGTTTAATCTGTGCTTGATATTCAATACTTGACAGAGACCTTACAGATGTTGTTTGTATGGGGGACAGAGGAAGGGTTAGTCATAAAAAAAATGTCAACCCCTATTATTTCACACAGTGAGTCCATATAACTTGTGATTTGTTAAGCCAAATTTTACTTCTGAATTAATTTAGGCTTGCCTAAAACAAAAGGGGTGAATAGTTATGCAACGGCTATATTTTTTCACTTTGATCTACACAAAATACTCCATAACGTCAATGACAAAAAATTGCAAATAAATCTATTTCAATCCCACTTTGTAAAGCAACAAAATTTGAAAAAATATTCAAGGTGGTGTAGACTTTCTATAGGCATTATTACATTTGTTTTATTTGATGATTTTATTACATTCCACGTGACCATCTCATCTCTAAAGAGCTGCTGTCTGACAAAAATCACTATTTTAGTAGTACTTCAAAGTATATCAGGCATACTTTTATGACTGCTGAATACCAACTATCAGTCACTTAGATAATGTATTTTCAGGTAGAGATACCTCGAAGCAACTCCTCTCTATCCCTCAGCGATTCTCTCTCGCTGTGTCTACCCCACACTAACCTAATGTAGCAGGCATAAAAGAAACACAGCACACAGACCCCACAAGTAGGCACGTAATGGATTATGGTCATTGTAGTTAATTACCACATTTTCTGCACTAAACTATGTAGAATATTGGACTGTTGGAAACTACAGCTCCTTACTAACTCCCACAGTTCGGGCTTGATCTGAAAATGGAATTCAAATAATTGAATGGACATCGGTCAATTAGTTGTTAAAAAAATTAAATGTTTTGGTTAATCGCTCAGCACTAGTTCTAATGCTCAAACATAAGGAAATCAATTGGGCCCCAAAATACTCCTGAATCCGTCATTATTTGAATTTTAGATTCTCCCTGACTGTCTAGCTTATACAAAAAAAAAAATAGGTCCATTATCATTTCTACATACTTTTTAAATATGGTTTTAGTCGTTTTATATTTACACTGAAAATTATTTTCCATCCCGAAAAATATGTATTTTTCAAATACGTTTTTTTTATTACTGTTTGGACTTAGGCAGCCCGCCCAATACTTTTCTATGCAGAAAAAACCCTGACACATACAGCAATTACAAAAACACTCCGAAACACACATCACAAGTCCACACTCACTTAGGCACCACACACAGACAACTCCTTAATCATTTACATGTACACAACTCATTCATGGACATACATACCTTACTGCAAACACACACCCTAACCCAGTTTCTCCAACAGAGGTATACAAATCATAGATTGTAGACTCAAAATACACAGCAACCGTGTCATCTGTGTTCTGCAGGTGCTGCACAAGCGTGTCCCTTGTGGGAGGAAGGAGCAGAGTCTGTTCGTGACGGCTGTGGAGAACACCTGGATCCACAGGAGACAGAGACGCAGAGACCAGGGCCGACACCTCAGAGAGCTGCCCAGAGCACCCCCCAGTGGTACTTCTACCACCCTTTCCTCAGCCACAGCCCAGCACCCACAGAGCCAGCAGCACTCCTCTACACACACCCCGGATAGCTCACACTCAGATTTACACACTCCCACAGCAGCACAGGGGCCAGGCAGTGTTCCACAGTCAGGGACCAACCGGGCCGATGGAGCCGACTCTCAGGGGGTCATCTGTGTCCCAGTAGAGAACAGTGGGACAGAGGAGGATGTCATCATGGAGTCTTCTCCTATCTCTACAACACCCAATACCACACTGGCACAGACCGCACTACCCACCACGACACAGAAACAGGAAACCACCCCACAGGAAGTACCTACTGAAACACAGGAAGAGGAAGTCAATGCCACTGGACAGGAAGTGATGCAGCCACAGAGCCCCAGCGCTGTACAACACTTCCTATTCAAGTGCTTGGTTTACGTGAAGGCTGAGGAGCAGGACGTTGCCGTGGAGATACACTGGGTGGAAGGCCAAAACAAGGACGTGATGAACCAACTGTGTACCTACCTGAAGAACACTCTGTTTAAATTGGTGGCCAAGCCACTGGGGATGTAATGGAACATTGTTGACCTGTAGTACTGGGTAATGTTCATTAAGCAGAAAATGGTACAGACAAACAGGCAGGGACTTGGGGAACATAACTTACCCGTATTGTTCTGTTTGTAGCAAGTGAATGTGTAAAATATACTTATTTGCTGATCCAGTACAGTTTCACTGCAAGTCTCCATGTCAAGGTTATAATGACTAGTTAATATTTTAGTTAATTAAAGTTTGATAAAAATAAAAAAAATACATTTATAAATGTATGTTTTAGTAACAAATTATGTGTATTTCCATGTTCAATCAGTGTTACACACAGGTGGTCTGGTCTATCCCAGACATTCATTTGTCTAGGATGCAGTTTCCATAAGCAGTCACAAGAGGGCAGTCCATAGCTGCAGCTCATCCACTTGTATCCTCCTGTTGATTTAAATACAGCTTTAACACATTCTGGGGAGACACTTCACCTTCATTAGTGGCCTGTCGTAGTATCACAATTAGAAAGTAATGCCAGCCAAATTAGACAGCCTTATGGACCTGATGAGTCGTTAATGAATGATCTTTGCCTACACACACTTTGGCTGGAACAATACCTCCTAGTAATGCAGGATGTCCAGTCTTTCCTGTGCCTGTACGTGCAATTGTCACGAGGTCGCGGCCGAACACACACTTCCTGAGCAGAGATTTAGTGAATACCAGGAACAGCCGCCCAGCAGTGGACCCAAAGTTTATTTGCCACGTGCACAGGATACAACTGGTTTTAAACACTACTGTGAAATTCTTACCATGAGGGCTCTTTCCCAACAATGCAGTGATTCAATCTCTCCCTTTCCCAGTCTGCCGTTCCCACATGCTTCAAGATGGCCACCATTGTTCCTGTACCCAAGACAGCAAAGGTAACTGAACTAAATGACTATCGCTCCGAAGCACTCACCTCTGTCATCATGAAGTGCTTTGAGAGACTAGTCAAGGATCATATCACCTCTACCTTACCAGTCACCCTAGACCCACTTCAATTTGCATACCGCCCCAATAGATCTACAGACGATGCAATCGCCATCACACTGCACACTGCCCTATCCCATCTGGACTAGAGGAATACCTATGTAAGAATGCTGTTCATTGACTATAGCTCAGCATTCAACACCATAGTATCCTCCAAGCTCATCATTAAGTTTGAGGCCCTGGGTCTGAACCCCGCCCTGTGCAACTGGGTCCTGGACTTCCTGACGGGCCGCCCGCAGGTGGTGAAGATAGGAAACAACCTCTCCACTTCGCTGATCCTCAACACTGGGGCCCCACAAGGGTGCGTGCTGAGCCCCCTCCTGTACTCCCTGTTCACCCATGACTGCGTGGCCACGCACGCCTCCAACTCAATCATCAAGTTTGCAGACGACAACAGTAGTAGGCTTGATTATCAACAATGACGAAGACCGCCTACAGGGAGGAGGTGACGGCTCTGGGAGTGTGGTGCCAGGAAAATAACCTCACTCAACGTCAACAAAACAAAGGAGATGATTGTGGACTTCAGGAAACAGCACCCCCCTATCCACATCGACGGGACCGCCGTGGAGAAGGTAGAAAGCTTCAAGTTCCTTGGCGTACACATCACTTACAAACTGAAATGGTCCACCCACACAGACAGTGTGGTGAAGAAGGCACAACAGAGCCTCTTCAACCTCAGGAGGCTGAAAAAATTGTGCTTGGCACCTAAAACTTTTACAGATGCACAATTGAGAGCATCCTGTCGGGCAGTATCACGGCCTGGTAAGGCTACTGCACCGCCCGCAACCGCAGGGCTCTCCAGAGGGTGGTGCAGTCTGCCGAACGCATTACTGGGGGCAAACTACCCGCCCTCCAAGACACCTATAGCACCCGATGTCACAGGAAGGCCAAAAAGATCAAGGACATCAACCACCCGAGCCACTGCCTGTTCACCCCGCTATCATCCAGAAGGCGAGTTCAGTACAGGTGCATCAAAGCTGGGACAGAGAGAATGAAAAACAGCTTCGATCAAGGCCATCAGACTGTTAAATAGCCATCACTAGCACATTAGAGGCTGCTGCTGCCTATTGAAATCACTGGCCACTTTAAGAAATGGAACACTAGTCACTTTAATAATGTTTACATATCTTGAATTAATCATCTCATATGTACAGTGGGGAGAACAAGTATTTGATACATCAGAAAAGCAGAACTTAATATTTGGTACAGAAACCTTTGTTTGCAATTACAGAGATCATACGTTTCCTGTAGGTCTTGACCAGGTTTGCACACACTGCAGCAGGGATTTTGGCCCACTCCTCCATACAGACCTTCTCCAGATCCTTCAGGTTTCGGGGCTGTTGCTGGGCAATACGGACTTTCAGCTCCCTCCAAAGATTTTCTATTGGGTTCAGGTCTGGAGACTGGCTAGGCCACTCCAGGACCTTGAGATGCTTCTTACGGAGCCACTCCTTAGTTGCCCTGTCTGTGTGTTTCAGGTCGTTGTCATGCTGGAAGACCCAGCCACGACCCATCTTCAATGCTCTTACTGAGGGAAGGAGGTTGTTGGCCAAGATCTCGCGATACATGGCCCCTTCCATCCTCCCCTCAATACGGTGCAGTCGTCCTGTCCCATTTGCAGAAAAGCATCCCCAAAGAATGATTTTTCCACCTCCATGCTTCACGGTTGGGATGGTGTTCTTGGGGTTGTACTCATCCTTCTTCTTCCTCCAAACACGGCGAGTGGAGTTTAGACCAAAAAGCTCTATTTTTGTCTCATCAGACCACATGACCTTCTCCCATTCCTCCTCTGGATCATCCAGATGGTCATTGGCAAACTTCAGACGGGCCTGGACATGCGCTGGCTTGAGCAGGGGGACCTTGCGTGCGCTGCAGGATTTTAATCCATGACGGCGTAGTGTGTTACTAATGGGTTTCTTTGAGACTGTGGTCCCAGCTCTCTTCAGGTCATTGACCAGGTCCTGCCGTGGTGTTCTGGGCTGATCCCTCACCTTCCTCATGATCATTGATGCCCCACGAGGTGAGATCTTGCATGGAGCCCCAGACAGAGGGTGATTGACCGTCATCTTGAACTTCTTCCATTTTCTAATAATTGTGCCAACAGTTGTTGCCTTCTCACCAAGCTGCTTGCCTATTGTCCTGTAGCCCATCCCAGCCTTGTGCAGGTCTACAATTTTAAACCTGATGTCCTTACACAGCGCTCTGGTCTTGTCCATTGTGGAGAGGTTGGAGTCTGTTTGAGTGTGTGGACAGGTGTCTTTAAAACAGGTAACGAGTTCAAATAGGTGCAGTTAATACAGGTAATGAGTGGAGAACAGGAGGGCTTCTTAAAGAAAAACTAACAGGTCTGTGAGAGCCGGAATTCTTACTGGTTGGTAGGTGATCAAATACTTATGTCATGCAATAAAATGCAAATTAATTACTTAAAAATCATACAATGTGATTTTCTGGATTTTTGTTTTAGATTCCGTCTCTCACAGTTGAAGTGTACCTATGATAAAAATTAGACCTCTACATGCTTTGTAAGTAGGAAAACCTGCAAAATCGGCAGTGTATCAAATACTTGTTCTCCCCACTGTATTCTATAATATTCTACTGTATCTTAAGTCCATGCCGCTCTGTCATTGCTTGTCCGTGTGTGTGTGTGTATATATATATATATATATATATATATATATATATATATATATATATATATATACACACACATTATTTGTATTTATTTTTAATTCCATTCCTTACTAGATTTGTGCGTATTGGGTATATGTTGTGAAATTGTTAGATATTACTTGTTGAACTGTATGTCGCTCTAGATAAGAGTGTCTGCTAAATGACTTAAATGTAGATATTACTGCAGTCGGAGCTAGAAGCACAAGCATTTCGCTACACCCGCAAAAACATCTGCTAAACACGTATGTGACAATTTGATTTGATCGTAATAATATCTAATCAATGAACAGTAGCGTTATGGTAGTAATAAATCCAATCATTATAGCAGCAGCGTAGGTGTGTGTGTAGCTGTATGTGTATGGTGTCAGCAACGTGTGTGTCAGTTGGTAGAGACCTGTGGATGGGCGTAGAGTCTGTGTGGATCACCTGAGGGAGAGCAGTAGTTGTTAGCCATTTACCAGTCTTAGGGCCAGGGGATAGAAGCGGTTTCGGAGTCTGTTGGTCTGAGCCTTGATGCACCGGTACCACCTGTCGGACGTGTGCATGGAGAATAGTCCATGTCTCGGGTGGCTGGAGTCTTTGGCAACCAGACAGGGATACAACCAGTCAGGATGTGCTCGATGGTGCAGCTGTAAAGACACAGTGTGCGTGTATATGTACGTTTCTGAGTTCACAGCTCTGTGTGAGTGCAACTGTGTCTGTCACGATCACATAGTGGTGCTTTAAAAGAGGCCAATATTGACTTCCTGCTCATATTGCTGTGTGTTCTGAGGACACATACACCCACACACCGCAGGACTTTGACTTGATCAGTTCCTGTGTGTGAAAATCATGTGATGTCAGTGTTAAAAGTAGAACAGCAGTGTGTTGATTACAACAGGCTTGTGTGTCTATATTTTTGTCACATCATGGTTGCTTCCATCCACAAGAGGAGGTGTCACGTTTAAAATGACTGGTTTGAATTTATGGTACAGGTGATCTTGAAAAACAGTTGAATAGCTATCAATCCAGTAAAACCCACAAACAAGCATAAAGATACATGATTGTTAATTACCTACATGCAAGGGGTATGCTGTCTACAAAGCAAAAGTGCAGTTACTGCTCATAGTTTAACTGAGAAAAATTACAACTCACCGAACAGCCAGACAGTTGGCTCAAGGTCGTCGACGCTCGGCCATGTGGCGGGAAAGGCGTACTGTCTCTTTATATAGCAAACGTTCGAATTGCTCTCGTTTAAAGCCGCCCCGCCAGTACCACGTTGTTTGTGAATTAACCATTCCACCACGCCCTTCGTATTACTAATGGTACATTTATGAGGGCAGATACTGCAAATG